CATTTTTCCGTCCCCAAAAAAGAAAAAATATCTATTACATTTTTTCAGTAATTTTGATTTACATAAGTACATACAATATAAATATGATATTGCAATTTACAAAATCCTTCTCTGCTTTGCAGAAGCCCATTTTTTGAAAGCTTTTTCAATATCTGAGGTAACCACTTTTCCAATACTTAGAAACATTAAATTATACAGTGTATTTGTTTTTAATGAATTTCTGTATTTGTTTTTTATAATATTTTGTCAACTAAACCCTCTTTCACAGTCTGCAGTTGCGACAGGAATTGTGACCAAGCGGTTACTGATATCACATGGATTTGAACATTTCCAGTCATCTCTAAAAGATCTACCTTTTCCAAATGCACTTAAGATTTTATGTTTTTCAAAAATGTTCTCTGCCGCTGACTTTTGAGGTACATGCAGACATATTGTGGAAGTTGTTATCGCTTCAACATGCAAGGAAGCTGTACATGTGCCTCTATCAGCAAGCAGCATACACGCTCATCAGGAAATCTAACCCACGAGAGCAAGCCAGAGGTGTCCGACCATCTAGAGGATTAGCCTCTTAATGACTGGTTCTTATTACAAGAAGCAAACGTTAACCTCGACAAAAGAACGAACATTCCTGTCCTAAGCGATTGGCACTTCCATGTCTGCGATATACCCCCCCCCCTCACTAATGAACGACATCTCTGTATGTAATAAACTAAATACTTGTTTATTAATTAAAGTTGACAAATAATTGGACTGTAAAGTACTATTTAGATTTTTTATACTAAGCTGATTATATTGATATTTCTATAATCTGATACAACAAAGAATAAAGCACTCAAATGGAAATTATCACTAGCTATAAATTGACTTGACTAAAAAATATTTTATATAACCAATATTTGCAGTCTACCAGACAAACAAAAACCCAAATGAACTTATAGTTCCGGCGTTATTCCCCCGGTGGTGCAGAGTGGGGCGGGGGGCTGGCAAAGGACAGAGTATATTCAGCTGTTCGTATGATATCTTCTATTTCAGACAAAGTGAACATTATCAGGTTTATATTTATGATACACAGTCATATTGAAACCGAATGTTGGCATTTCAGCAATAGAAGGAGTGCACATGACACTTCTCAACAGTTTTTGTATCATACGACTGAACACATCTTTTTTTTTTCTTCTTGAGTCGGCGCGATTGTACAAATAGATAGGGTTGTTATGGTAATGTTACCTACACAAAGCAAACATCAAACCTATTCCTAGCACCAACTATTTAGATATTTGTTTAGCATGATAAACATTGAATTGAACAATCTACGACAGATGTATATCAGATAAAAGTAAAGATCTCCAAGTTATTACTATAAACTTATTAACTTGACACGCAATAACACTGGCTCACTGGACAGTTCACCGAGATATCTTTCATATTGCCATGGCAGAGGATCTGGCAAGTACAGTGAGGAGAACCCCCACGTAACTGAAACCTTGACAAACAAAATGTCCCTCATAGTACCCCACAATTATTAGACCAGTAGGTGCAGAAAAGTTGGACGTTAAACCCCATTTCATTTCATTTCATATTCATAAACACAGACCCGAACCAGATTTCTAATATTGGAGGATTGTCCCTTAACCTGGTACCCTCAACCTCAGTCATGTTACACTTAGTTGAATCTTCTAAATGCACGTGCTGTGAAGAATAAACCTTTCTTACATATTGATTTCAATTCAGTATAAATCACTTAGATAATATATTATTAAGCATTATTCTAAAAATGACAATAATTTCACATACATTATTTCTTATATAACACACGAAACTGTTAATTAAAATCATGTGTGCTTTGATAATGATCACTTGATTGTTTTCCATATCAATTGTGTTGTGTTTTGTTTTTTAATTAAAGCACAGACGCAACTTGAATCAACGAATGTTAACAAGACTATATGTCTATATTTTATCGTTGGGTTTCCTGACAGTTGAAATCCGGTGAAGAGGAGGCGTGGGGGTAGAGGGGTGACGTTTCCCGAGCACAATCCTTCTCCGCAGAATTGTACACCTTGCCATAAACATATGCCAGACTGAAAATGACCGAAATGTTATGCTGAGATTTGTTAACACCTAATCTTATTATGTTGCCATTTGTTGTAGTGGATGGTCGTGTCCGAGGTCATACGAGCATCTTTTGACCCTATAACGTCAGACATTTGATTAACCAATCAGCGTTGATGTTTCTGTTACGTTACCCACCTCATGCCAAAATACTTGCCGTAAGAAACCGTTTTATTGGCTAATCCGTCACATCATCCAGAACGCAGGTTCCCAGTGTATTAAATATAAGTAAAACAAAATTTTGAACTATAAAAAACAAAACAAAATAGGATCTGTGTTTTAATCAGATTGGAGGGACAAGCTAAAAATGTGATTTTTTGTACAATCAGGGGTCATAATCCAGGAAGTTACATTCCAATATGCGTGAATATCGAAAACAATCAGGATCTTTGGGTTATAAAGATACATTTTAAGTTCCATCAAAATTGGATAAAAACCGTGATCTCAAGAGTGTCCACAAGCTAAAAATGTGATTTTTTGCACAATCAGGGTCCATAATCCGTGAACCATGCCAATATCGAAAGGAACCAAGATCTTTGGGAGATAAACAGTCTATAAGTTTCGTCAAAATCAGATAAAAATTATGACCTGTAGAGTGTCCACAAACAGGACGTTTGTCCCTGGGATAGACCGGACAGAAAATGTGAATTCAAATAAAAACTAGAACTCTGAAGGAGTACTGATGTGTTGTGGTACGGCAGATCACGCCATGAATTATTGAGTTTTTAGTAAAATCCAATACCTATTAAAGTGGAAAAACCTGTCATTTTGAACACTTAATAAAATCGGAAATTATACTTCAAGACCCAACTTTTTGATATTAACTGTAATTAGTTGACATCAGGGACATCATATATACAAAGGTCAAAGGTCACTGAAAGGTTAGGTCACCAGATAGAAGGTCAAAAGACGAACAAAACTCAAAGTGAAACTGGAAGTAAACGAAACTGGAATTAAAAATCGGCTCCTTAAGAATTGTTGCCATTTGGAGTAGGTTCAAAACAAAAAAAAAGTTTTCAAAAATCGTAATTAAAATTTGTCCACTTGCCCTCGGTTTTTTTTTGGTCCTATCCAAATGACTAGATGTTTTTCCTTGCCAGCCCTCTGTCCTGTACCAGTGATTAGATGAAACCCCACTAAAAAACCCATAGAACTTTCTGTGCCAACAATGGGACCAAACCTTGGTTAATAAGTCAGCTCCATATGCACTGATCCACAATCTTTACAAATATTCAATATCTATGGAATGTCTCTTTAAAGACATGGGAAATACAAATAAATGATCATAATCATCATATCAATCAGTTTATTTGTTGGAGATCATAAAGAATTGTAATTCAGAAATGCATTGATAAAAACTGGCCTATCCTTTATAAAATCAATAATTTGTTCTTGTTTTTGCTTCTAAAATTGTACTACGATTTTAAAAATATTTATGATCCATTAGTGCATTTTCACTTTAAAAACATGAGAAATAAAACAAGTGATAATCACCAAAAAGTACAAAAGGTCAATTTATACGAAGCAGTAAAACGCCCTTTAATTGTCATTTTGATCTATATCTTCATTTTAATTAACAAAACTTTCTTGTTTTGATCAATAATAACATCTACATACAACGTGTCTAAATGGAATTTTCCTTAATACAAATGGTTAAAATTACCTTGAAACATTGTGTAAACTTATACTTGGCACTGTATTAATGATTAAATAGTGGTTTTATTTACGTTTCTCAGCAGTCTGAATGTCTAAAGCACACGTGGATTACCCTACTAACAAACTAATTTTGTCTCCTTAAAAGAAAATGTGACATCTTTGTTAAAATTTGGCATGTACCTGAGAGTCCAAACAAATCGAATCATAAATCAATTTTCACCCAGCAACAAACCTACTGCAGTTTTTAATCAAGACTAATAACTTGTCTTTATCTATTATAAACCTAAATAAATAAAGACTAAAGATGGCAAACAGATAATGACGTGTTGGATATTGTTATCCTGAAATAGGCATGTCCTAGGATCACTAATAGCCCTGAAGAAGATTTATGTGGAAATGGATTTGAAGTGCTTTGTTAATATCCAAACATCAATGACATGACATAGTGAATTTCAACAATTCTATTTGGCTTTTATTCTCCACAAAAATTTTTGTTAAAAAATATCAATACAGGTAAACGCAATAAAATGAGCAAATCAGTTTGAATTTGACTTCTAGACAACATAATTAAGCCATTTCATCATATTCTGGTGTTCGTTGGTAAAGAAAAATGAAATAAAATGAATTTGGGTTTATTGTCCTACTCCTACTGGACTAATGAAGACGGGCATACGCCATGCAGTGTCTTATGAAGGAAATCTGGCCCGGACTCAAGGACTCTTCTACATTCACGCCAATGTTTGCATTGGGGCCTCGGTTTTTGTTCCCATCCGAATGACTACATGTTGTCACTGATACCTGGGATAACCAGGCCCCCGAGTTCACAAAGGATTATCAGACTTAAGTTAAGAATTTACTCAAAATTGTTCGCCTTTTTAATACTAAAATATAACCCTTTATGAAACTGTATCAAATACATCTATAAGAAACTATGTGCAGAGTTTTGTGTTTCTGGATCAAAGATATTTCTCATAAACAGTGATTGAAAGTTGAGTAAATTCTTAACTTTTATCTGAGAATGCTTTGTGAACTTGGGGCCTGGTCTTAATAGCCACCCTTACCTCTTATATAATATATACCAAGTGGTAAAGGGTTCACAGGTCCACAAAACATGAAAGGATCATTTACAATTTCAGTTTAAAGAAAACTGAATATTAATAAACATCCCTTAATCAAAAGCACAACATGCCAGAATATAGTCAATATATATTGAAATTCTATTTGTAACAGACCTGATTTTAGCCTGGTTTAGCAGAAATCGTTTAACTGAAGGAAGGATATCTTTCATAGTTCTCTTCATTAAAAAATCTCCTGAACAATCTGACATTATTCTTAATGTTTCCATGGCCTAAAATCAGATAAAAAGATTTTTTATTCGATTCACAAACAATCATAAACAAACTCTTTAAAGCTTTGTATCCAAATTAAAAAGAGGTGGTTATTAATTGGGTAAAATGTATAAAAGTGTGCATTTTAAAATAAAATATTGATCCAGAATTTTACCTTGAGAGTTACAAGTTTTTCATCATCAGAAAAACGAAGAGCAAATGGCAACCAAATTTCATGCAGCATTGGTAAAAGTTCTTCTGAAAAATAAAAATAATACAAAATAACCTACAAAGAGAAATGTAATGAATCTAACACAAGGTACCATTTTATGGATACACAATTACTGAGTTTAATACTAAGCAATGTTTCGACGAGGATACTCTCGTCTTTAAGCTTGATAAAGACAAGAGTATCCACGTCACTTAGTATTAAACTCAGTAATTGTGTATCCATAAAATTGTACCTTGTGTTAATATGTTCAATTACTAAATGCCAATCAAAGAAGGTAATTAATCTAAACTGTTTTACTTTGTTTTAGAAACTACAGACCCAAACTACTCACTTTGTTTTAGAAAATATGCATTGTCTTCCACAAACTACCAGCATTGGCGTAGGAGCCAGGGCTATGTATTTCCGTTTTCGGGCACAAACATCAGAGAATGGGTAACTTTGAAGTTTTTTTTTGCTTAACATATTATAAATTTATATTGTTGTGTTATTGTGTAATTAGTTAAAAATATACAACCATCACAGCTTAGTAGAAAATTTGTTTTAATTAATGCTTCATTCATTCAGAAAAATTGGGCGACAAAGAAAATTTTCGGGCAAATAGCCTTAGCCCTCCAACTGAGATTGGCCCCCTATGACTACCAGTACCCCCTCTGTTATAGACTACCAGTACCCCCTCTGTTATAGACTACCAGTACCCCCTCTGTTATAAACTACACACATTTTTCTATAATGTAAACACACTGTTACACAAAGTACACACATTGTTACACAAAGTACACACTATATTCTATTCTAAAAAGTACACATCATAAGCTACAAGTACACACTTTATATACTACAAACAAGTACACACTATATATGTTACAAATAAGTACAAACTTATTCTACAAAGTAAACACAATATATACTATGGAGTATATACTTTATTCTATAGAGTACACACTTTGTATGCTACAGAGTACATAATGTATGCTACAAAATACACACTTTATTCTACAAAGTACACACTACTTAAGTACACATATTGAGGTACAAGGTACACACATAATTTTACAAAGTACACACTACTCATAAAAACTACAAACTATACATTTTACTTAAGAAGCGAAACATTTTAGTTCCATTACTACAAATTGCTTTATCATGCTTTACCTTTTTCTCAATTTTGAACAGCGATGATTTTTTAGAGTTCAATTACTTACCCTGATAATTATATAAAACTTGAACAGAATATTGTATGATATCTAATACCAACAATCTCAATCGTGGATTATTACAAGACAGCAGGTGCTTCGTTCGCAGTAGTATCTATAACAAACACATAACATAGATTGTATAAACATATTGTATAAACATAACAAAAGTACAAATGCCAAATTGGACTTAGTCATCCACCAGGAATTAAGGAAATGAAATGAAATGGAGTTTAAGGTCCTACTGTTCTGCACCAAACTTGGCTAAGGAAGACGGGCATACAGTGTGCTATGAGGAAAATTTTGCCCGGACAGCGGCACTACGGCCTACTCTTATATCGAATTCCAACTGTCAAGGGATCTTTTACATGCATGACAATGTGTACACAGGACCTAGGTTTTTTTGTCCCATCCAAATGACTAGACATCTGTCCTTGTCAGGCTCTCCGTCTTGCATCACTGACAAGGGGGAACCACGCCGGAAAATCTGGATGAACTTTCTCGGCCAATGCAGGGACTGAACACCCGACCTCCAGGCTAGCATGCCAGCGTCTTACCTACTTAGCCACCGTGACCCCCAGGATTTAAGGACTATCAATATATTAAAGAGGCATTATGTAAGAGCTAAATCGGCAGGTATTTTATTCTGACCCTAAATTTTATGCAAATTATTATTTAGACATTTATTCATATGAAGAGAGAGAGAGAGAGAAATGAGGTTTAATGTCCACTCGACACAAACTAATTTGCTTGTGCGTAGGGGTCTTTAGCAGTGGGAAGAAACTGGAGGACCTGGAGAAAACCCACGAGGTTGGACAGGTGATTCATATTAAGAGCCCATGATCAAAGTCTTAGATATGTCAAATAGCAGTACCAGTATTATCAGGTTTTTTCACATTAATGCATCCCTTAAATTTTCTATTATAATATGCACCCCTATGAAAAAAGAGTTATGTTAGTTATTATGTTGCAAAACTAATTTTTCATTTTTACCTCTTTAACAGCCTCTATATGAAAAGGAAGATCTTTTTTATCACAGTCTCCCTCCTGATCCTCATCTTGAATGTCATCAGCATCCATCGTATCCCCACTATCAATATCATCTATATCCCCATCAGCTATCTGTTTGGTTTTATGATAATCAATAAAATACTCTTCAATCTGTTTCAAAGTTAAACTTTGTTTTGAATCTGGTTGCTGATCTTGTTGGAGTTGTTTCAGACTTGAAGCTAGATCAGATTCAGATTGGTAGTTCTTTTCTTTGACATTCTCTTTCTAGAACAAAAATGGCATAAGTTAGAAATTTAATATTGCAAATAAATGAAGAAAACTATATATACTTTTTAAACAAAAAATTAAACAAACAAAAAAGCTAACACTCTAATTATTTAAAACATCAAGGGCAAAACTTTCAGAGGAGACTCCCAGTTTTAATAAAATACAGTAGGGTTTAACATTCTACTTTTGTGCACATGGACTACTGGACTAATGAAGACGGGCATATGCCATACTGTGTGCTATGAAGCAAATTTTGCCTGGGCAGCAGCACTATCGCCTACTCTTATATCGAATTCCAACTGCCAAGAGATCTTTTATGTGCACGCTAATGTATACATGAGAGTGGCGGAACCTCAGTTTTTTGTCCCATCCAAACAACTAGACAGCTGTCCTTGTCCGAGTCTCCGTCCTGCTCAACTAACAAGGGAAAACCATGTCAGAAAATCGCTATTGAAGAACGCGATGTTCCATGCAGTTTTATTTAAAGGATATTTTGAATGACTGTTTCCTATCAACGAGTACACGGTTGTTCCTCGTAGTCTTTTTCCATCTGATCGACTGGATGATATTGCCATACCAATACCTCAATCCTACACCAATGACAAGGAAAAAACCAGGCTTTAAAATCTATCTAAAATAATTCCTGGGCAACACCACAATCAAGCTGGGACCTGATCGGTGAGCAATTGTTACTTTCACTGAGCTAATGTGGCTCAATCAGTGAGAATAAATAAATTGCAAGATAATATTGTTTAAGTGTCTATTTATATCATAGTTCATGGATATTTCAAATACCAGAAACCATGTCCCGTAGATATGGCTTTAATTGAACATATAAACAAAGACATTGGTTATTGGTCAAAGAATTAAAGATTACAGACAATGAGTGGAACGTATATTTTACCTCAAATCTATTTTTGTTTTCCTTCATACTTCATAAACTATATAACACATACTTATGGAAGAACAATTACTGATTTATTAAGGCGACGTTTCGAAGAGTATTCTCTCAAAGTTTTCAAGCAAGAACAGTAACAAATGTGTAGGGCAATTATATATAACAAGTAATAACAACAAATCAGTAACCATGCATGACAACAACAAGATCAAAGGCATGAAAACAACATGATCAAAGGCAATGTGCATATGAAGAATTAGTGAGACCACTGATAATTGGTATAATTAATATTGGAGTTAAATAATAATTGATTATAGGGGTAACTAACTTTAATTAGACAACCAATAATGACAAATCATAAACCTTGATATAAAACTACATAATTATTGTATTCTTTTCATTAGTGTAACATACATACGCTCGTAAATATAAAGATAAATTACTAAAATATCTGAGTAAGACAAAGAATTTAATAATGTTACTGTACCATTAATGATTGAAAATAGATTTTACAGTATCCATTATACAAGACAAAAATACATAAGTTATTCTTGGGACTGACAGAAAAGATAGGTTAGTAGGCTGTGAAATATATAAACATCTAGTCAAAGAGAGACAGCTCAGCTCAACACGAACCAAGCCATTTTGGAACCAACAACTGCTAAATATTTATTTCAATAATGTGTTTGTAGGTCTTTTAGAAGTGGGTGGAAACCGGAGGACCAGGAGCAAACCAATGTGGCTAAGCAGACGACCCTACATCGTGTGGGAGCATAACCATGCCACTTGATTCAATAACAGACCTTATTATCTAAAGCACATTCATACACCCAAACTACCATCTAGTCTGAGACTGGATACTGCAGAATGGCATTCAAAGAGATTCTGCATAACCTAATTATCTAGTATTTTCCTTTTCTTTAAATACATGTGTCTACAAGTACCTGATTTCTTTCATAATTATATATATATAATTTTAGAACTAAAATATCCATTTCTATATATAATTTTGTTCAAAATAACTACAAAATATGAGATGAAATGTTGGCGCATATACCGGTAGTTTATAGTCTATATTATAAATTTTTTTACTTACATCTTTAAAAGGAAACCATCTTAAGATAGAAACCACTAGTTCTTTTAAGACTTGTAAAAACACAGAACTATTATCTTCATAATTATTATCTAATGATTCTAAAATCTGAAAATATATCAAATTCAATTTGATTACATTTAATTTGAAGCCAAATACTAGTATATATAATACATAAATAGTAACCAGAAACAAAATCAATAGGCTTAAAGGTATGCTAAAAGGTTATTTGGAATATTATATCATTAAGCTCCATCATGCCAGAAATGAAAAGAAATGGGTACAACATCATGGTTTTCTACTCCATTAGGGCTAATAAAGACAGACATACCCCATGCAGTGTACTCTTATTTTGAATTTCAATTACAAAGCGTTCTTTTATGGGCACGCCAGCATGTACACAAGACTCCAGACTTTTGTCCCATCTGAACATCTGATAAGCTCCCTACCCACTAGCCCCGCAAAAGAACTTTTTTGAACATCACCGGGATCAAACCTGGGATTTTCGGTCAGCATTTTACTCACTGAGGTACTGTATCTCCCCATCTGGATAAATATTAAATACTGAACTTAATATAAAATCAAGAGTGGTTATAATGAAACGGATTCTTGTACAGAAATTATGTATATTTCAAGGTTACAGTTGTTTCTCTTGATTTCAAACTGCCATTTTTATGCGTCTTTTCATTAAAACTGTTCATCCTTCATGAATTGTGGCTCAGTGGGTAGGACGCTGGCTCACTAACCTGGAGGTCCTGTGTTTGATCCTTGCGTTGACCGAAAAAATTCATTAGTGGTGCAGGGCCTGGCAAGGGACAATGCATAGTCGGTCGCATGGAATGAAAAAATGCAGTCCCGTGTACACATTGGTGTACACATTGGCGTACACATTAAAGATCCCTAGGCAATTGGAATTTGATATAAGAGTAGGCTGTAGTGCCGTTGTTCGAACAAAATTCCTCTCATAGCACACTGTATGGCGCATGCCCATCTTCATTAGCCCAGTTGGAGCAGAACAGTAGGACGTTAAACCCCATTTCATTTCCATTATTTTTTTCTAGACTTGGATATGCTCAAAAACAAGAGAGGAAATCAGGTAGGGTTGATTGTCGAGAATTTTCTTCAGAGCGGGGCACCCTAACATGGTCACGGAAATAAAGGAACAAACCTCTTGAATGGTATCATGAATCAAGGGAAGTAACTCCACACTACTATATTCTATCATAACTTGCAGAACTAATGGTGCATGGTTATCATGATGAAACCGTCGTAACTTTAAAGATATTGTGTTTACCAAATAATCCGAGTTTTCTCGGATTAGTTCATCTATTGAGCTGTAAAATAAAACAAGAGGCCTGAACAATGTGAATCAAAAGAATATAAATATATCAATAGATTTCCGTCACAGATTCACAGACCTGAATACAAATATGTTTTGTGTCGAATGTAGACACAATTAAGGGCGTTGAGCAGTCTAAAATGCACATTTCAAAGCTAGCACTGTAATTTTTGTTGATAAGATATGACATTTTTTGTTATTTTGGGTCGTAAACTACGTAAACTACATATTAATCACCAAAAAAATACCAATCGTGATAGATGGTAGACCTGGATAATCGTGTCTTAGGAGGAATTCCTTCTGAAGTCATATCTAGATAGACGTGAATGATCCAGTGTGAAACTACTACTTGACACGGCCATGATTGTTTACAGCGGATGACGTGAACGGTGTATATGACGTCATAATTTATTCAAGAACTGATCTAGGTCGGGGAAACCTTCTTGATTGCTATACTATTCAAAAAAAGTAGGGGATATTTGATTTTTAAGTGTTATTAAAGTCACCTAATGAAACTGACGAAGAAACAAATGACAAAATGAAATGAAGTTCACATTCATCGATTTATTCCAAATGATCGTTAGACTAAGTAAGGCACAGACTGACCATTATAAGGGTAAAATGATACCCGGGGTCAAACAACAAAGTTACCACAGCATCACAACCAAGTCAGTAACGGGTAAATCCTCCTCTGTTTGCCAAACAAGCATTGATCCGACGTGGCATACTCCTAATGAGACGTCTAAGGTCATTTTGGTCCAGATTGTCCCATTCCTGTTGCAACGCAGCAGCAAGTTCTTGGACATTGGCAGGACGTTGTTGACGTTGACGTAACCTCTGTCCAAGCATGTCCCAGACATGCTCGATGGGGGAGAGGTCGGGACTCAGTGCTGGCCTGTAACACGCCCTGCAACAACATGTAAAGCCGTTCTTCCAGCAACAGTGATGCCTCCCCACACCATAACAGAACCACCCCCAAATCGATCATGTCTGATGACGTTAACGTCTTGGAAGCGCTCGTTTCGACGACGCCACACCCTACTACGTCTGTCCAAAAAATCAACAGTGAACCTTGACTCATCTGAAAACATCACATTGCTCCAGCGTCGATTATCCCAGTGTTGACGATCCCTACACCAACGACGTCTTGCCTGAATGTGATGATCTCTCAAACAAGGGATCACGCGAGGACGTCGGGCGCGAAGGTGACCCCTATGCAGTCGATTCCGAATCGTCTGGCCACTCACTCTCACACCAGTGTCTGTTTGAAGACGAGCGCTGATCTGATTTGCTGTGATGACACGATTTCTCAAGGCCAAGGTACGGATAAATCGATCCTGGGCTTGAGTTGTCGCCCTTGGTTGACCTGAGCGTGGTCTGTCCTGTACAGATTGTGTATCACGGTATCTGGACCATAGCCTGCTTATGACAGACTGAGAAACATTCATCGTCCGCGCCACAACCGCCTGTGTTGTGCCGATCTGTAGCATGCCAAGGGCACGTAACCTTTCATTTTGGGTAAGCCGACGCATATCAAAATTTGTTTTCTGGTCACTAAAACAATTAAACTGATGTTTCCACCCTGGAATTCAATGCCACAATGACTGTAACATTCAAAGTCAGAGTCGTGCAAATCTTGGGTTGGACCCCCATGATGATCCCAAGCATCACCTGCATTCCATGCGGTAGCTATTGGTGCGTTTGGGCGTCACATGTAACTGGAAATGTTTCTTCTGTTAGGTTCTATAGTGACTTTTTTCGTAGTCATTTGCATATTTTAGTATTATGCCCCCAAAATCAAATATCCCCTACTTTTTTTGAATAGTATATAAATATTTTTTTTTCTTTCAGCTTGTACCTCCATTTTTACACAACAAATGGTCGGACTGTTATGTGTCCTCTGGGTTATTTTACATATGGAACAAGCGTGCAAAGTCTTAATAAGATTGGTGTTGAAAAGTTAGTGCGTACTCAATGCCCTTAAGAACAGCCAACATGTCAGCAGAAATATTTTCTTATTTAGATGACCAGTGATATTTTAATATTCAAATGATATGCGTATTTGTTGCCCATTGTTCTGTCTACTCGACTTTCACTGTTGATGAAACTTGGCTCGAAGATAAAGTGTTGATTTGACGGGATGAAATCTAAACAATTAAATGATCTATAAACAGGAATTCGTTGATTACTAATTTTGTCTTAAACTCTTTGACAGTGAAACAAACAAATCAGGTATAGATATTGTAGGCACCAATCTTGGACAAGAGAGAGAGAGAGAGAGAGAGAGAGAGAGAGAGAGAGAGAGAGAGAGAGAGAGAGAGATGGGTTTAACATCCACTTGGCACACACTAGGTCATTTCGGGACTAACTTATAGTTCAATATTAATATGGTAATTTGCTTATTTGCTTTTAGCAATATGAGAAAACCAAAGCATCCAGAGAAAACCTACGAGGTTGGACAGGACACCATACACTTTGTCCCGCACAAGCTGGGTATCAAAACTGGGCCACTTACTCATTGACAGACCGTATGATCTAAAACCAAAGTGTTACGCCATTTGGCCACCCATGACATAAATCTTATATTATAAGTCTTACCTATAATGGCAGGAATTAGAAACCTCTATAAGACTATAATATGCTGTATGACTGATATATGTATTATCTTGTCCAAGTTTCTCTAATAACGGGTAAACAACATCCATTAGTAAACATCTGAATTCTTCACCTAAAACCTATAATAAATAATTAAAATAATCCCTTGAACTAAAACAAATTATTCCTGTTATTAAATAACAAAGAGATATATAATCCCTTGATAATAAGCAAAATCAAAAAATCCAAATCACTAATGATGCATACACAAGGACATATAAAGAAAATAATCCTTTAATGAAATAACGTAATACATCTAATCCATTAATAATTAACTAACTTGGAAAAATCAAAGATAAATCCCTATAATTATCTGACTGACAGGTTGTTCTTTTTCATTCTTTTGATATTAAACATATATAATTTGTAACAAAAAAATACGAAGAGAGAGAGAGAGAGAGAGAGAGAGAGAGGGGGGGAGAAATTAACCTCCACTGAGAGACAGAGGGTTTAAGGTCCACTCCACACAAACTAGTTCATTTTGGGACTAACACATCGTTCAATTTTATTTCAATAATTCACTTGCGTGTAGGGGTCTTTAGCAGTGGGAGGAAACCGGAGGACCCGGAGAAAACCTGTGAGGTTGGACAGGCGAGCCCACTCCTTGTCACGTATAACCCCTCAATCAAAACCCCGCCAGCTGACTCAATGACAGACCTTATGATACAGCGTGCATGTGCTAACCTTTCGGCCATCCAACCCCCCACGAATAGAAATAGAAAGTTTAAAAAGATCTTTTTTGAATAATTATACAGGTACATATAGATAAAAAAATATCAAAAAAAATTTTCAGCCCAGCATGGGATTCAAACATGTAACATTGTTCTAATCACTTGACTACCCATGGCTGGTTTACAGGGATATAAAGAAGCATTGCATGTTAATTAAATGTCTATAAAGTTAATAAAGTATACATGTTAGTAAACTAACTTTCATTTGTTTAAAATGTTGTCTGTATGAAAATGCATAGTGGTAGTATTATGCAACAAATCCCTATAGAATCAATGTAAGGGTCCAGAATGACATTTCTATGAGGTTGTGTCGGTTTAACTATGTATGATTAACCTTGCATTGGAAATGGATAATCAGTATGCTATTTTGACTATGGGCACCATAGACATCAATATAACTAAACCATGGTTTTTTTTTATGGACTAAATACAAATTTATGTAAACACTGTTTAAAGATGGCAATTGCAGGTCTTTCTTTTGACTTCAAAAGTTATATAAACTATTATTTAAACATTTATTCACATGACAAGCCTATATAATCAACTCCTAGAACATTCGTTGCCAGAGTTTTGAACGAATTAAATCATGGTCACCATTATATTAATGAATAACACGTACCGTTGTTACCATAATTAACAATCTATGCCACATATAGTTTGTATTATCTATCTTTGAAATATTATAGCAGGAATGGGAAGCCCTTTATCTAAATCTTACATTATGCATCTTTAAGTAACACTGACTTCATTAAGCACGGCATTTTTGATTTCGAGCATCAAGGGCGACCTTCCTTTGGTTGCACAGATTTTCGTACTATAGTCGAACTATCTGCATGCGAATGACATTTAGTTCAACCTGTGGTCGTGACCAGCCGTACCATGCAATAGAGCATGGTTGAGATAGTTCAAAGATGGCTGACAAGACTAACGGTCCATGGGGTATAGATGTTAACTACTTTGGGTTTTTTTTCGTGTTTTCTTGATGAATGAAAAGTATTCTGATATTGACTAATCCTATCTAAACTTGTTTTCACACTGCAGCGTGGAAAATTAGCCAATTCTTAAAAATACATGAGTAAAATAAAGCAGGCGGAACAACTGACATGGGTGCCGCCATATTTCATAGTCAATGGCCCGGGCAATTTGCATTCTGGTTCTGGTTCAGACTGTAGTCGCTACCATAGTCTACAGCTGAAGGTCGCCATGGTAGTCTCATTGTACAAGTGAACATTATATGCAGATCAATCACTTAGCCATAAATAAATATAGGGCATATCATACCTTTGCAAATATTCCAATGCCTTCAATTAAAAGACAAATTTTCATGATATTATGGTTCATATTGGCTAGAGTTAAACTAGAGTTGTCCCCCTTGTTTAGGCACAGACTAGATGGGTGTTCATCAAATTGTGTAGTTGATTTGGGTGGTGTAGATGTTGGAATATTAAAATTATCATCAGATAGATACTCATCAACTAACATCCTGAAAAAAAATTCCAATAGACATAAAAGTGAAGAAATAAAGCACATGAAATTTACCATAGTTCTTTGTGCAATATGATATGCTTCCCCTTTTGTTTAAGGGAACTGTTGTGGTGGCTTTGTAAGTCAGGTGCTGGAGGTCTGGCACGGGTAGAGAAAGTTTCTCAGAATTTTGCAGTGTGATTTCCCCTTGTCAGAGGATGTAGGACGGAGGGTCTGACAAAAACATTGTTTAGTCATTCGGATGGGAATTTGAAATATAAGTAGGTTGTAGTGCTGCTGGCGAGACAAAATATCTCTCACTGCACACTTGTATGGCCATCTTTATTAGTCCAGTTGCTGCAGAAAAGTGGGATGTAAAACCCTATTTCATTTAATTTCTTTTCTTAAAACTGTCTTTATTAGCCCGATTGGTGAAGAAACACGGGACATTTAACCCCATTTAATTTCCCTTCCTTACAAAAATAAAATGATAGAAAAACTCACCTTATTATATCAATAACCAGAGAAACATTATCTGAAAATAAAGAAAACATGTATCACTTTTTTTTTCTCTATTTCCTTCTAATATTAATTGAAAATTTATATATCAACTAATTTAAACATTCATATTTTAATAAAGCTAAAACTTCTTGATCAATGGATGAATATATTAATATACTCTTGGTTTGATACAAGTATATTATAAATTATCCACTTGTTAGGCATGTAAAATTCACAAATAAATAGAAAGAGTATGCATTATTTAAACAGGTGTGATGCACAAGGCAGCTAGGGTATAAACATTAAACAGGTGAGATGCACAAGGCAGCTAGGTTATAAACCTTAAACAGGTGTGATGCACAAGGCAGCTGGGGTATAAATCTTAAACAGGTGTGATGCACAAGGCAGCTAGGGTATAAATCTTAAACAGGTGTGATGCACAAGGCAGCTAGGGTATAAATCTTAAACAGGTGTGATGCACAAGGCAACTAGGGTATAAACCTTAAACAGGTGTGATGCACAAGGCAGCTAGGGTATAAATCTTAAATAAGTATGTGATGCACAAGGCAGCTAGGGTATAAACCTTACCTTTAGTAACTGAACCAGCAATGATCTGATTGATAATAAACACAGATTGTAGTTGATAAATACTTGATTCATGTAACATGTCCATCATATGATCTACCAGTAAGTCTATATCACCTAAAGATATACAATATAGAGTATGAGAGACATTTTACAATTATAAACTCTTCACTGAAATGACATGATCAATCAATAGTAGGCTAACTTAAATTATTATGCCCATTTAAACCTTGCATTGGTTTCTATTGGTTTCACAATGCTGAGACAAATAAAACAATAATAATATTCAGGGGCAGATCCAGACCAGAGGGGCATCTTTGGGGGGGGGGGGGAGGGCTAATTTAAGATTTCTACAATTAAATGAGAGAATGATTGCCAGGGCAGCAACTTATTGTCCAGTTAGAGTGATTATGGCTATCCAGACGGACCTCAGATTGTTTTTTATTAAAATGACTAGACATACTTTTCACAGATGTTTCACAAATATTTGCAAAGTATTATTCTGCTTACCATATTGTCCAAGTAGATGACAAGATTGAATAAGAGCAGTCGCTATTTGATTGTCACGGAAATGTTTGAAGACATGTTTTGGCCTCATTATATCAGCTTCTGATGGAATCCCACCTTTAACTACAAAAAAAAAACAAAAACAAATTTAAACGTTAAAGTAGTCAACTTTTTTCAAGGACTTGAAATTTTTAACCATATGGAACTCACAAATAGATCTTAACTAGAAATAATTGCACAAACAGTTTTTATTATGTAAATAAATTAATACAGCTTTGTGGTTTTTACTTTGAAAACTTTGCTTTCCCACATGAAGCAAGCAGATTCTTTTTCCCATAAATTTTTTTTTCTATCAAAATTGACGATACCAAGCATTAATCAGCTGGACCTTCTGTTTTAACTTCATTTCATGATGATGAAGGAAGAAGATGGCCCACCCACAGTGTTTTAAAATTACTTTTTTATATGCAAGAACTCTTTTATGTTTTTACCCTTTTTTTGATTACTTCATATTTAAATACTCTTAATTAAATCAACTTGTCCATGCATAACGTATTGGACGTTATATTTGTAATAAACGACAACAACAGCTGATCATCATCCTTAATTAATGGACAGCTGACATGTGTAAGATCAGTCGAAAAGTGGAGAATCAACTCATCATGTGCATTGCGTGAGGCATGGTAAATGCAAGCATACTATAAATGTTGACTGAACCAACTATTCAACATTTATTTCTAAATATAAGCTTACCAATAGACTGTGATTTGTGGTCTATTATTCTGATATCTGTACAATCAAACTCTAGAACTTGTATTAAGGACAAAGATAATCTTCTAAGATGAGCAATAGACTTTAATACTTGGTTGATATCTGGACCTGAAATACAAATAAAATTTCTAAATTAAATATCTAGGAAATACAAAACATACCCTTTAAAATTTTTCTATTTTATAGAAGACTAATTTTGGAAAATGACCAGAAACCATTTGGTTTTGTTTAGAGTGGAAAAGTGTGTTTCTCACCCTTATTAATATGATCATAATATTGTAATTGTTTTCATCTTAACTACTTACCCAGTAGAGTTAAATAACCATTAAGTAGATTTACGATAGCTAACTTTTCATCTTCATCTGAAAGATAATATTGATTGAATATATTTAAAACATAATGTAACAGCATAATGTAACTGAATATATGTAGAATATAATGTAATAAAATATATGTAAAACATCTTGTAATAAAAAATATATGTAAAACATAATGTAATAAAAAATATATATACACATATATGTACATAATATATGTAAAACATAATGTAATAGAATATATGTAAAAGATAATGTAATATAATATTTATGTAAAATGTGATGTAATATACGTCAAATGTAATGTGATTGAATATATGTATAATGCAATGTGATCGAATATATGTAAAAGATAATTATTATTATCACTGTTCGATTTATATAGCACTTCATTACACATGAATTTTTCTAAGCATCCACGACAAAACAGTTCAAAAACATTTTTGAAATAAATGTCTTTAAGATAGTCTTAAAGCTCTGGATGGAAGAGGACTCTTGAAGAGTTTTTGGAAGATCATTCCACATATTAGCTGCTCTAATGGAGAAAGCATATTCACCAGAGCATTTATTACATTTTAGAATCCTTAATATGCTACAATCACTTGAATAACGAAGGTTGGATCGCCGAGGAGTATGGAAGTCAAACAGTTCTTTTAAATAATTGGCTGCAGAATCAGAATAAATCGATTTAAACACATTCACAAGAGTTTAAATTGAACCTTTGCTCGAACTGGAGGCCAAAGGAGTTTCTGGATCTTAATTAGCTGATATATGATTAAATCTGGATCTTAATTAGCTGATATATGATTAAATCTGGATCTTAATTAGCTGATATATGATTAAATCTGGATCTTAATTAGCTGATATATGATTAAATCTGGATCTTAATTAGCTGATATATGATTAAATCTTCGTGTTCTATAGTTATGAAATGTGCAGCATTGTTTTGCGCTATTTGTATTCTATTTAAATTGCTTCTGCTGCTCCTAATAGAAGGGAATAGAATATATGTAAAAGATAATGTGATCGAATATATGTAACATAATATTTACATGATGTTGTCTTTCATTTCATGGAGTTTTTGTCTTTGATTACCCTTCTGTATTTGTTACATAGAATATTAAAAGTTGCTTGAAAGATCCCTCAAATAATATATCATGGATATTGTACAGAACCTGCAGAAATTGGTGCCAACATTTCATGCGAATCGTCATGGAGTCACAGCTGGATGTAATTATTTTTAGTTACCTGCTATATGTATTTGTCGAGGTAAAGATGTCGTAAGACTGTGTAGATTATCTGATAACATTTCTTGTAGTGCTCTCGTTTCACCAACATCCTTCTGCTTCTGTTTAAACTCATTTAAAGACTCCAGACTTTTCGTTTTAATATTTTTATAATCATCACCAATAAATCCAACTAAGACTTCTAACAAGGCAGGAACACATTCTTTCATAGATCTGGAGAAAAACCAAAACATGGACTTGATTAATTTTAGTTAGATTCAAAGAAAGTCTATATAGATCCTCAAAAAAGTAGACTTTGCATCTTATGCCTGTCAATCTACAGAGTTTTTAACAGTTAATGGGTTATAATTTTAGTTTTCTCAGATTCGTCATAAAGAAGCTTTTAAGCCTGCCTTGATGAATTATTCAAAGTAGTGAAACCCTGGACCTTTATTTACAAACATAACAAGGCCTTGACAATAATGTTGTTGGACGCCATGCATGCTAACATCAGATATCCTCCTTATATAAGGTCTCAGTGTACTTGTAACTGGAAGGGGGGGTTGGATGGCCAAATGGTTGGCACATGCGCGGGATGTATCATAAGGCCTGTCATTGAGGCAGCTGCCGTGACAAAGAGTAGGGTTGTCTGTCCAACTTTATGGGTTTTCTCCGGGTCCCCTGGTTTCCTCCCACTGCTAAAGACCCCTACATGCAAGTGAATTATTGAAATAAAATTAAACCATATGTTAGTCCCAAAATGACCTAGTCTGTGTCAAGAGGACGTTAAACCCCATTTCTCTCTCTCTCCTAACTGGAAATATCAAATATAATTACTTGCAACATTTTTTCAGCAGTAATTCTGCCCAGTCTACTAAAGCTAATCTCACTCTCCAGTTACTGTGGGTTTTAACAGTTGTTATTTGTTTTATTAATATCAATAATTTAGTTGAGGTGGATGTCAACCAGTCTTTGTTCCTTTTTATCATCAAGTCTCTAATTTTCTCATCAACTAATAGAAAAAATAAAGATTCAAAGTTTTATGGACCAGGAATCAAGAATGGTGTCATCACGGCCATCTTAGAATTGTGACATCATATCAAAATTCAAAGTCTGTCAATCGATGCCCAATTGTCCAAAGAAGTATGCCAAGTTTCCAGTCGATTGTATTTGAATTGGTGCAACCTTAGGCTTTTTCAAAGAGCATCATCCCTAAGAAAAAGAAGAACAACAAGATGGCTCAAAAAAGTAAAAGTCACATGTTGTTGACCAAGGCATAATCTGAACACAACAAATTTAACAGTCTTAGGAGACTCATCAGCAGGAGTAGGAAAACTGTAAGAAAAATTTGATCTCCAAACAAACAATCATACATGGAAAGATAAGGCAGACTTTCAAAGCATGATTAAATTCCAATGACAACATCTGTGCACAGGTAGTTCCGTATGGCTGAATGTAATGAATTCAATGAAAATTAATACTTTCTATAAATAAATCAACTAATTAAACCTTCATTAGTCTTTAGGCTTCCATTCTTTGTTTCTGTTATATCAACTGCTTCATCTGACATAACTAATGATGTTATTCTGGCCCATGTATCCAATGCTTTCTGCAAATAATCACATGATAATTAACATTTTTGCTTAGAAAGGTCACCAATTCTAGATGGAGGACACTTGTATCTGAAGTGTTGCATGGACGATGTTAATTTACGTCTATCTAAAGTCATACTATATTGACATCATTTATTAAAATTTTGTATCAAGTTAAAAAAAAAAAAGAAAAAAAAAAGGAAAATAAAAGCATTACAGAAATACTGATAGTAAAATAAAATAAGAGGGGTGTGTTTGACCTCTGCTAAAATATAACAGTGATGTGTATGACCTCAACTAAAATAATTGGGATGTGTAAAGCATTGACTACAGCCATGAATGCCAAAATATAACTCACCACTAGTACAGCCTGTCCTTGTTTCTGATCACCAGTAATAATTCTTGATAATGTCATTGTAATACCCGGTAAAAACGATGCAAATACATCACCCAATAATACTCTCTCACTCTTAACAACTGTTACAGAAAAAGAATAAAACATGAAATAATGGAGTCACCTGCTACAGCCAAAACATCGAATAAGAGTCCATGGTTACACATGCTGTGGGATATGTTCACTATTGACAACTTAAAAATGCATGACAGGTTCCACAGCAATTCAGTTGCCTATTTTATAGATTTTATGACTGTGGAGTTGGATTCCACTCTATGAGAGAGAGAGAGAAATGGGGTTTAACGTCCACTCGACACAAACTAGATCATTTCGGGACTAACATATGGTTTAATTTTATTTACATAATTCGCTTGCGCGTAGGGGTCTTTAGCAGTGGGAGGAAACCGGAGGACCCGGAGAAAACCCACGAGGTTGGACAGGCGACCCTACTCCTTGCCACGTACAATCGGGGATTCGAAACCACGCCAGTCGACTCAATGACAGACTTTATGATACAGCGCGCTCACGCTAACCATTCAGCCATCCAAACACCCCCTCCCCCCACTCTATGAGACTCAACCAAATCCTATGCAATCTGATTAAAACACAGATCCTATTTCGTTTCGTTTTTTTATAGTTGAAAATTTTGTTTTACTTGTCTTAACTACACTAGGATCTGGAAGAGTTGTTATCATTGACGTGTTCTGGGTGATGTGAGGGATTAGCCAATGAAACGGTCTGTTACACCGAGCTTTTGGCGTGTGGTGCATGGAATTGTGGGTAATCCACTAGAAACATCAATGCTGGTTAATCAAATGTCTGACGTCATGGTGTCAAAAGCTGCTCGTATCACCTCTGACACGACCTCCCAAAACAACTGGTCAGATCTTCATGTAGTGTTGGCATTCCAAAGTATATAAAAAAAACGGAACGAAATATAGATCTGTTTTTTAATAAGATTGAATCCTATGGTAATTTTGTCCATGGAACTCCTCTATTCCTTCAGTCTAGTCTTTGGAAAGAAATGAAACGCGCTTAACATCTTTATTCCCTTTACCAATTGGGAAATTTTGCCCGGACAGTGGCGCTATGGCCTACTTTTATATCGAATTCCAACTGCCAAGGGTCTTACTCACTTAGCCACCGTGGCTCCCCCACCTAAACAGATCTATAACACGCAACCTTGGATTTTTTTAACTATATGCATAACTAGGTGATTTTCGTTGCAATGCTCTGATCTCCATGCCGCACTCTTTGAAAGAATATGTAAACCCATCAAATGAATATATTACACATATTATTGTCCATAGACTGGAGTCTGTCATGTATGTACATATATAATTATTCCGATTCCTGTAAATGAAAACAGCTGAGGGATAAACTGGATGATTAGAAAAATAATATGAAATATATTCAAAGGATATATATTAGTAAAATATAATTGTAAATCTACTTACGTTTTCTGTTAATTTGTGCAAGTGAACACAGACATACAATGGCTGTAATTTGTAGATCTCTAGATCTTTCTACCTCAGATTCCCTCAGGACCACAGAAACAGCGTGACCCAGAGCTGGTAATGATTTTGGTTCATATAACATCTTTAAAACACTGAAAGTGGAAAAAAAATATATACACATTTTCAATTGGACCACAATATACCACCTTTTAAGCAGGTTTTTATGAGTTATCCTCAAGAGGCTGGTCATCCATGACATCATTACTTTTTCTCTCATCAAAACGTTCTCATCTTATTATCATGTAACTTCATATGATCATCTTTATTGTCATGTATGATATGCCTCTTGGAAAAATAAATAGAATAAATAGAATATGCTGTAAAACTTGTATCAGCAACAGACCAAACAGGTATATAATCAAAATATGTACAGATTATATACTAAAAGAGTTTTCATACTCTATTAGCGGCATATTACATAGAAGGGAATGAGTATTGAAATTAATTCCACTTCCATGTTATACATATAGTGAATATAAACTAATTCTGGGAGTTTGCAGAAACTAACATCCAATGTCATAGCCCGTTTTCTCTCATAAATTGAACATAAAAGCTATTTTGTTCTGTATAACCAATGCACAGTGCCCCCCCCCCCCCACACACACACACCCTTGGCCTTTTGGAAACTCTGCCATGTAGCCATCCCACTAGATTTTTTTTGAATTCACTGGATTTCAATACTGGTTAGAATTGGTTCTGCTTGACTGAATTACTGGATTGTGTGTCTTTCTATTTTATTCCATGAAACATTGAAAATTCAAAAATCTCACACAATATAAGCATACATATACCTCCATTCTGTATTTACAACTAGAGCTGTAAGAGTTTTCAATATAACCAATTTTAATTCTTCACTAGAAGCTGTCACTGGAAACATTATAGACACAAGATAAAATATTAGTACACATGTTATGCATACAATACATGATGAATTGTTCAAAAATATCTGGGAGTGTTTAAAAAATAAACAATAATGTACCAGTAGTAAAGAAGAGTAATTAGTAAAATTGCCTTATCTCTTGATTCAAGGAAATTTATTTCCCCACATTCTTTGTCTTATTTCTATCTGCAAGTATTTTATCCTCATTTTTTTTTAATAGAATGATAGTGTGTCTTTTTATTTCAAGAGACACAGACTCTGCATTCCAGCATCATATAGACAATCATATCTGTTTAATTACCTGGCAGTGAATCATGTGGTGAACTAATCATACAACAGAAAGTTGTAAATAAATCTGTAAACATCTGCCAGTTAGTGATTTTACTTCCACTAAATACAAACATCATACACTCACATACATCAATATAGACATCTTGTTGGCTGGAATATATAGATAAACATTTAGAAATATAGAAATATCAATACAATTATTGTATAAAACAAGATTCGGGGTTTTATAATTTTGTTTTCAGTTTTACATTTTTATCATAATTGAAAATGATCTGTAGTAAATTCAAGTTCTAGATTAATGTGAAGGTATTGATTATTATAAAACTTTTAACCCTTTAGCAACTGGTCCGTTTAAAATCACTGCTACATGTACCTTTAACCCTCTAACACCTGAAACTGGTCGAGTCAAGTGAACAGCTGTTAACTATTTTAGTATATGCACTCAGTGGTTTGAGGCAGTCTAAAAGAGAGCACTGTTCTCTAATCTTTTCAAAGAAGTGGGATAGTTATGGTTAATAACATTCTTCATAATAAAACCCAGAAAAAAATCCCAAAATATCTTGACCTTAAGAATTTTTTACAACGTCTCGGTGACAGTGACAATACATGTAACTCTATAATAAATCATAGCAACGGTCTTAATTTTAATAGACTACTTCTTCCTTAAAGCCCTTCAAAGGATTTTTCACATGCATAAGAACCAAAGGTAGATGTATTGACAAAATACATTTTCGTGGCCGAGAACTTACACAGTTTTAACTTGCTTGAATACAAGTCGTAGAGGAAATAAAATATATTCCTGTAGATCTTGTAGTAAATGTTGATCAGTGACCTTCAGTTCCTGGTGTAGTTTCTGTATGGATTCTCGACATGGTTGTTTCGTCACAGTGACACACAGTGGTTTCAATCTGTTAAATGCTCTACTTTTTTCTTCATCCCTGAGAAAAGATCAAACAATAAACCATTAATTCATTCATATTATTCTATAACTCGACTAAAAGTTCTTTATAGTTTTTAAAATTGTTGTCATTTATGTCTGTACATGTTTACCAATCCATTTTGGAATCGGGTTCTTCTCTCAAGAGTTACATACCAGTAATTCTATTCAATTTTTAATATTCAGCGTTTTTTTTAGCAATATTACAATCAGTTTTTTTAAATGTAGAACTTAGAATGAATAATAATTTTGAATTCATAAACATGAGCAATGAAACTATATGTAAAATGTAAATCAATACATCATGATATATATACCATCTGAAATGTTTGACGTCTTCGATCTCTAGACATTTTCACGATGACGACAATTGAAAGGTCAATTACAATAGGCCTATTGGGTTACGATTTTTGTAAATTAAAGAAATTTCACACTGATTCCAAAAAACAGATAACATTATACTTTGATCAAAATTTAATAATGTAAATTTTTTGCTCAAACATTGATGAAATTTGTAAGATACGGTAGTACGTACAGTGTGGCACTGTAAACCAGTGAAATACAGAATTAATGATTCTAGATATTTGTTTACCTAAAGAAACTGCACAAAACTCTAAAGTCTTAATGTCATTGATAATTATTAAAACTTTTATGGGGGCATAACATGCAATTACAGGTGTCTTTTTGCTTTAAAGGGGCGTTAAATGAAATGAAAAAGGGTTAAGGGTTAAACGTCATACTTTTCTGCACAGTTTAATGGGTGTAAAGCTCTACACGGTAACTATTCCATAATTCCCAACCCAAAACCAAACCCTAACCCTAGACATAACACTTACCCTAACCCTAACCTGCAATCTCGCCAACAATCACGTCCCCTAACCTTATTTACATCTCAGCGACGTAGCCGAAATATTCAGTTGGCCTTAAGAAATTGATTTTGTCCATTTTACGCGTCTAGATCTACTTTTACTTTAGTCAGATAGGTTATAGAGAGGAAATGTCTAACGATCGTCATTTTACGTTTTAAAAATACACTGCACCAAAATCGAAACAACTGTTAGAGAAATGTCCAACAGTAATTACTTACGATGTCATTGTCGGATTCTTTAATCATTTAGCCTCAAAGAATGGAATATCGTCTTCGTCTTTAAACTAACATTTGATGGGCGCAGACATATTGGAAGCTTGGCCAATCAACGCTCTAGATTTGGCTGGTTATAAATTTATGCGAGCAAGAATCTATATAAATCGCGGAACGAAAAAATATAGTTACAATCCGTTATTATTCTTCCTTTATATACCTGTTCCATTTCTTTAATTTTTCAATAGCATATCTTTAAACAAGTTTGACAAACTACAATATTTTTTTTTCATTTCCGAACCAAGAAATTAAACCGGGTTTTTTGGCGGGGAGGAGGGTATTTTTTCTTGCATTTTCGAACATCTAATATTTAGGAAATGTATTACTTTAGTAACGAAGTCTTATTAGAGACCCCTGTTACTATCAGGGGTCTCACCCCAGTTGCTATCAGGGCTCTCTAAGACTTCGTTACTAAAGTAACTATATAATATAGAAATGTATATATACTCTCGACTGTGCTATCGACATTCCTAATATTCGGTATCAGACCTGTACGTGTGAAAGGAAATATCTTTCAGCAGTAATAATTCCTAATCACCTATATACACAGCTAATAGCAATGTCATATGTATTTGTTTTCAAATATACTGTAATATGTAAATTATTAAATAAGATACAAACGACAGTGCCTGAAATCCATCGTATAAATTTTCGTTTCTTTTTGTGAGTCCCATTCTTGTAACTTCTCCATTTAGCCATGAAAATAGCAATCTGGGGGCTCAAAAAGTAAAAAACGTGTATATTTTGTACGAATACCAAGGCAATATGCTGTTATTTATTTATGAATCATGAATATGAATACCGCAGCATGGTTTTATTCTTTTATGAATCATAATGAATACCAACATGATTTTATTTATCTATCAATCATAAATATGAATTTCCCCATTCTAGGACCGAAAACTAGCCTTCGAAACAATATATGTACATGTATTAAGATCGCCATTCCCCCTGAAACAGTAATAAAAACAGCCAAATGCCCTGTCTTTCTTGAACCAGCACCGACCCGATCGAGTCAGCTACAGGCCAAATAATTGACAGCAATGTTAATATTGTGTGGCAGGATAAAAAGTGTAAGTCATCCTTATTCACGATCCTCATATTTTCCGGTGAAGCACAGCACCATTCCATTTTTCCCCATGAATGTAATCGTTTCTTCTCTTACTTTGTGGTTTCAGATAGACGTGTTATTTGTGTGTTGCTTCTACAATCTTTCTTTCCCCTAATTCATCACATCAAAACTTTTCTTTTATTAGGTGAATGCATGCATGGTTTCTTTTAACGGGAGAGATACTGTAATACTTTTAGTAGAATTTTTGCTCGAGAAATAACATATTCGCATAATATGTGATATGTACTTAAAATACTTAAATCAACTTAGTCTGTAATTGATAGTTACACATAAAAAAGAGCGATTTATCGAAAACATATGTCACTCATTTACCACCGAATTACACGTGAGTGGAATTATTCTAATTGCATCATTTGATTTAAAGTAACCAATCATTTTGTTAATTACACAAGTTCAGGGCCATAACCACGCGTTATTTTGCATGATATTCACTTACCTTTAAAAGAAACCGGGGAACCCTGTAAGTCAGACTTGCATTAGATTCCAGAGATCGAGGGTACATCTGAGTTCCTAGACAGCCGAGAGGCTGGATAGGGTGGAGAAGTGGTTTTAGCTATATAGTATTGTAATTTGTGCTATGTTTGTATACCTGTATTCAGTTATATGCTATATAAAATGCAGAAGCGAACTATGCATTATTATTCCTGGTAAGACAAACGTCTTAAGAAACTAGAAGAAGTAAATACACAACGTGAAGCAGAAGTAAAGACAGCTAGAGACAAATTCTAGACGATCACAAGGCTACAGAAATATGTAGTAAGAAAAGATGCATGGGTCGTATGTAGGATGTGGCGACCGGTTCCCTTAAATCTGCTCTCCACGTCAGACAGAAGGCTCATGGTGCTACAATACTCCGTTGACAGAAATAGAGTTGAAACATGAAACACAGAAACAGCCAGAGCCACGTGAAAAATTACGTTATGGAACAGATCAGATGGTATGAAGCCGGATAATAAACTAGAGCTTTGGGGTGAAGATTGTTATAACATCGTTTATGTATTTCAGGAAACGGAGGAACCAATCGTGGCAACGGATTTTACAATGCATGGATATGAAAGAGGGGATAGAATATACTTTTACCACATGAAAGGATGATAGCTAGGATGAAACTTTTGATGTGAACTGTCCCCAATTCCATTCTAAAGACTTACATCTCACACGAAACGGAAGAAAAATCAGTGATTTAAAAAGAAGAAATCACACAAAAGGAAACCGTGATTGCAATTATGAAACTTATCGACAATAAATTTACAGATTAATTTTTATTTTGTTATTTTTTTAAATATATTTACTAATTATTATATAGCTCAAATCAAAACAGTATCACGGGCGGGTGTGAATATGGAACTATTTTCATTTCTAATGCATTAATTATTGTAACTATTTAGGATTGTTTTCTTTTCAGACCTTGAGAAGTAAAGGCCCAATTAACTGTCCTGTCATTTCGAATTTTAGGATAGGTCCCGGATAAAAAAAATACCCCATTTAAATGAAGGGTGTACATATTCTGATTAACTTTCATTTTTCTCGCCTTTTTAGAAGTATTTTCAAGAATTCGCGCACACATTTGACGTTTAAACCAAGTTTAGACACCAGATACTTAAACTTTTTTAGTATTTAAATTTTCCCAACCTTTCAAGACCCGAGAAAAGTTGAATGATCATGAAAGAATATTCCTACAATATTTTCGAGCCGTTTCTTCCATGTACACACGTAAATATTTATCAAATTTTCATTTAATATTTTAGCATTTTGGTATGTCCTATTATTTCGCCTTTCGCGTAGGATCAATTTAATATATCCAGTACCCAGTTCACAATTTATGAAAGAATATTTATTCCTTCTATTTCTCCAAAAGGACCGGGTCCTACATTGTTCGTGGCTTAGACATTGAGTCATTATATCTATCGGTCCCAAACAACTTTAAAGGAGATAAATTGCTAATATTTAGGACCTAGAAATTGACACAAATGGGTCGCAACGCATGTAATAAAGTAATTTGGATGTATATAAACTGATTTACATTCAATCGTTTCCGTTTTTACTCAAATTTCAAATCAGTTATGTTCGGAGAAATACCCGAGAATTCTCAATAGAATGGCAATCTCTATCTAGCGTCTGGTTATTCCAGTTTACACCGGTAGTATTTATTGCGCATGCTCTCCAGATAAGGATATTGCGTCAAGGATATTGCGTCACCGTTTGACATGACTTGTGAGATACGTCTAGCCTCGTTCTTCGAGTTCCTTGTTACAAATGGCGCTGAAACGCATTCCGGTACACGATTTGTGTACCAATGGCAAAATGTTTATTTTGTCTTAAATATTGCCCATCGATCGAAAGTTACGTAATTGTGTCAAAAACAAATATTAATTTTTACAAATCTGCTTTTTTAATTTCGGTTTTGTATTTGCGCCATTTCGATTTAAGGGTGAAAAGGGTGTAAAATGAGCTATTTACAATGCTTTCCTACTTTCCCTATTTTAAAATGTTTCTTCGTAACTTTCATACACTTGTGCTTAATCCATACGAAAACAATCTATGTCAAATTCTGTTTGTAATATTAGGAATTGCCGGGAAATAGTCAATTTTCCATGAATAACTTTCATGTTATTTTGCCTGTAAAATTGATGTCAAATGCCACTTTTTAGCCCTCAAAACAAATATTTTATTCAAATGAGTCGTATTTGTTATTTGTTTGAAAATTATATTGGATTCCAATCAACAAATACAATGTCCCCATACGATCATACATGTAGATACCACAAAATGGTTTCTAACTTGTTCAGTTGCAGCAAAGATACACGATTTTCCACAAGTCACTTTTCAAGATTTTATGATTTCATAAAACTAATTTAACATTTTTATTATCACCAGGAGTAATGTCATTTTGGCAAAAACTGTATTATTAGCCCCCAAAAGTTATTGATATTCATTATTCGTACAAAATTATGATATTTGATTCAAATGGATAAATAAAATGAATCAATGTGATCGTATAGATATCAAAAATGGGGTTTCTAGCATCTTCCCTTTCACAGAAATAAGCAATTGTATCAGGATCACTATTTTGCATTTTAATAAGGCTTTGTAAATGGTTAATTCTGTTCAAATTAGATAGTTTATTGATAAAGGAAGTGTACAGTCTTCGTTTGCTGTAGTTCTTTATGACATATGTAACAAATGGTAACAAATGTATAAATCAAACTGATATTGCTGGATCTATCTTCAAGGGTAACGCGACACCAGTGAAACCCATCATAACTGTATTGCAGTTCTAGTTTTAGTTAATTTATCATGTTTTTTTTAAAAAACAATGATTAAAACCATGAATTTTAGAATTAGAAAATGCATTTGATATGATAATTTAAGGTGTCAATTGTAACCTATTTTTCATTAAATTAATACGACGGGAATGAAAGAAAAGTCGCTATAGTTACTCGATTACAATCAAAATCTAGTATATCGACTTTTGAACAGTACCCCGCGTCACTTCCCTGGCAAATAAAATTGAATTGTTCGATTTACCTTTAGTGTGACCCCGTATTGTACGGTATTGGACACACTCTAATGTCTTCAATCAACAATCGTCGAACAAAAGTAAACAGAAAATCTGGTCTAAAGTCAGATCTATCCAGTCATATATACAATACTTCAACCTTTGAGTGAAATGCTGTGATCCTTCTGGCCGTCACGTAAAATAATGTCATATTTGTTTTGGTAAGACAGAAGTATGTATTACTTGATTAACCAGTGTTAAAGTAGAGATGTTTCTTATATGTTGCCACTCAAAAAAGATAAAAACCTGACAGAGTTGTAGTAAACTTTTGAAATGATGTGAAAAAGATACAGTTAAATTCTTTAAACCAATATGTTTGAAACGCTGTGCATTTGGATTCTTTAATCAAGTGTATTGTTTTTATTCTGCGCTTTCAACATAATATTGTGGTTTTATCTGGATTTTTTGTTATGATAAAGGTATGTGTCTGGAACATTAAAGCAGAGTGGGTTTTCGGTTACTGTGAATAAAGTTGTTGGCGTATTTGCATTCTATTGTAAATAATTACATTTTTTTTTAACTCAACTGTTCAATTTAAGATCGAAATAAGCCTTTGACATTCAGATTTAAGAAGCAAATCGGTAAGTTTCGTTTTCTGTAGAAAATTTTAATCTTTGTTACGTTTTAGTATGACAGAATGCTTGAGGATGATAAAATAGATTTGTGAATAAGTGTGAGGAAGGAGGAAGTGAGAGGTACACAGTGTGAATAATGTATAATATTGTAACATCACATGTTTAACACGCCATGTCACCAGGTAAAACATAATTCTGTGTGAACCTACTAGGGTAAGTTTCATGTTTAGCTTTTCATATATACAGTTATAGAAAATGTTTAACGTCTTACTTGTCTATACCAACCGGTATACGCCGTGCAGTGTATACTATGCGTGATTGTATTTGTCTGGTAATCTACCCTTATTCCGATTTCCAACTGCCGGGGATCTTTTTCGTCCCATCTGAGCGACTAGACGCATTTTCTTGTCCGACCCTTCGCCCTCCAGTACTAAAAAAACCAGAGCAAATTGCTCGCTCAACAATCCCAGATACTTACCGAGCCACCGTTGCCCCAGTTAAGACATTATGCACCGCCCAAACATTATCGAATAATAACCCTTTTTATTAAAATAATTACACTATGTCTGATTTTTGTCAATTTGGAAGCGGGGTTTACGCACCAATAAAAAACATTTTTTTAGTACAATAACAGATCATCCAATTTTACAGTTTTAAAGAAATAAAAAATCAATTTAACATTTGATTATATTATTACCGTAAAGAGGTACTGAGGGATTACATTGCAGGTTGGATGGCCGAATAGTTAGCGCGTGCGAGCTGCATCGTAAGATCTGTCATTGAGTCAACTGACGTAGTTTCGATTCCCCGGTTGTACGTGGCAAGGAGTAGGATCGCCTGTCCAACCTCGTGGGTTTTCTCATGGTCATCCGGTTTCCTTCCACTGCTAAAGACCCCTACTCGCAAGCGAATTATTGAAATAAAATTGAACCATGTGTTAGTCCCGAAATGACCTAGTTTGTGTCAAGTGGACGTTAAACCCCATTTCTCTCTCTTTTTCCCCATTTTCATACAAGGTTGTATACTGCAAATTTCGAGAAGATGCTGAGCTATCGTCGAGTTATATAGACGTTTTAATGTCAATTTACAAATCATGCTTAAAGAAAACTCGTGAAAGTGGAAAATACCTATTCCATGTAGGCCAGTACCGGTACTTGAAAATCATTTCTTTTTATATAATATTGTTATCTTAGCTTCAATTCGAACTACTTAATATTCATTGGTTAAAACGAAAAAATTATTAAAATTATCTGAAATATGCATAGCAAATATTAAGGATTAAAAAAAAAGAAAAAAAAAAGAAGCCACAGTTTTTGAAATATATCTAGGAAATACGTGTCGATTAGGTTGATATTAACGAATATAAAAATATGTTATTGCAGTAGAGCAAACATGTCGGTGTTTATTAAAAATACATTAACGCTAATTAAACTGGTTAATCTTCTTTATCCCATTTTGTACAAAGTTATCACGTAAATTTTCTAAATTTAACTTTTTATGGTCGGAAATCTTTTCTCGGAATATTCCTCATACTACATACGGAACAGCCCACCTTGTCCGATATTTGTTAAATATGCCGACACGATATTAAATTTTCTTTTTGCATCAGATTGACAAAATTAATCAAATGTATTTTTTTTCTGAATGGGTTGGATGTCACCAACAAATACATATATTCTTTCGTTCTATATAATTAAAAAAAACCCCCAAAAACCCATTATATTAATTAAAAAACCCTTTGGGCATATGTAATTTGTATACCTATATGATTTTGCGCATTAACCAGTATACACACTTAAGATAAAGAGATCTGTTAAATTTTTTTTTAAAAAAATTGAAAAATTCAAACAACGTCTTACGCTCTGAGTCACCCCTGCTACCATGGTGGTATTATTGTTGGGTTGTTTGAGAGAAAGGCTGTTTGAAACTTCCTTAAAAAAAAGGTCCGAACCTTTGAACTGTTCGCATTGCTAATTAGTAAAATCCTCGTATCAAATTATTTGCAAATCTGCAAATGAATGACAAAAACGTTCTGCAAACGTGATCTGGTCTTAATATTTTAGAGTAATTAAATAAAACAAAACAAATACCACAAAAAAAAAAATCAAAAATTCAAAATTATCTAAAATTGTTTATTTTATTTTTAAATGTGTTCATAGAAAGTATGTGAAATAAAACAGAGATATATTTTAAGGAAAACTTTCTTGAAGATAACACCTTTTTTTTAAGATAGTTATGTTAATCTGGTAACTTCTAATATGTTTTTTTTTATTAGATTGTGAAGTGGCAAATAAATAATTTGTCTACAATGTAAGATTTGAAAATCTCATATGTATTGCAGACCAATACGATTATTGCAATTCCATCTGGATTTTATCGGGATTTTATTGTCTAAAGATATAAAGGAGTGTGTGGAAATAAAACACTCTGGTGCCACGCTCTTATTGGTCAGTCCAGTGTGATTGTCGACTAATATTTTGGTGTGACTCCACCGAAAGTACTAGTCAATTTTTATGTCAATCCTAGAATTTATAGTATAAATAAGCCGACTACCATAGCTTATGTCAGACGAAGTTAGATACTTAAGTGCAATGTATATACATCTAACCTATTACAGATTCTGGACTTTCAAAAAATACTGTCTTAAACATAGAAGCAAGATAATTATAAAGTTATAAAAAGTCGAGCAGTTTTGTTTTCCTCAAGCCGACTTATCTGATATTAAAAAGTGTTAAACAGGATAAGAGGATCATATCTCATTTTTTATAAGTAAAAAAAGGAAAAACTTAATACTGTTATTTCGTTTCAGTAAAGGAAGAAGTTTAAGCTTTCCGGTTATGGTATTTATAGTATCTATGGGACTCAAGGAAAATGATCAACCACCCTAACTTAATTAAAGCACGGAAGTTGAAGGCTGCATAAGGCGAATAACAGTCATACGTCGTTTTTACACTGTTGGATAGACGTATATTTTGTATAAACCCATGGCCAAACCAACACCTATTTTATACCGTGTTAAAGAGAAAGTGATGCAGAAAGTGAAATTTCATTACATTATTTTTACCCGCTTTTGATACATTTCTTGCAAGAATTGGGATTGACGGTGTCCAGTGTGCTTGGCTTATATGGATGCTTGTGAACATTGTCACGATTTCAGATTTTGTTGAAATGTGAATTTATATTTTTAACATAATTTTACACAACTAACAGCTAATTTCCTACTTTCATCTGTGTGATTTTGTTATTGTTTGAAATGTATGGTTGTTGAATTTAACATTTAAAACAGATAGTTTTGGTGTCACGCTTTAAAAACATTGTAAATTCATCGGAACTTGACAAGAATAGTGAGTGGCGAAGTAAACTCTGTGATAAACGTTTGGAAATTCAGTAAACATTTCAACGTAACTCGACGCAATATATGTTTAGAATCCCATAAAACTGAATTTATTTTCAAAACTAGCTATAACCTACGATTCTTAGACTATTATTCTGTAAAATGTCGTTTTTGTATAGATAACGGACATAAAATGTGAATTTTAAGCGAATAAATAATTCAATACTAAGATGACTTTCACCGATAGAATCAACATCGTTTTCAAGAAGTTGGTGACATCGAGATTGTTCAAATGGGGTGTTTTTAGAAAGTACAGATATCATGTTAGTGGATGATGACCTGCTAGGGAATGCTACTTTCACTTTGCCGCCTGATTGATTTAAGAACAACTGCTCAAAGTGTATAAGAACAATTGAATGGACTGGATCTGATTGAATTTGTTCGGTTGAGGGGTTTAAGGATACGAACGTCTAGATTTGAAAAATCGAAAATTCAAAATGGCCGAACAATCTGTCTCAAAGTTCGTAGTACTGCCACTTTTAATACTATATATGTTTATGCCGATTCACGACTCTATCTTCTTAATTAGACCGTTCTTAAAGGGGCCATTAACTATAGAAGTGCCGAAACATAATTTCTGGCCGTTTATACCTGTTGTGCCACCTATTCAAGACAATAAAACGTATTATAGTATACCAAGACACAATTTCTGGCCATTTATACCTATAGTAGCACCATTCGACCCGGATGTGAGTATAACAACACCCTCTATACCAACTAGTACCATAGCCTGGACAGACAATGATGGAGGTATGTAAGTTGCATTATATATACGGAACTACAAAAGAAATCTCAAATTAAAAATACATTATGGGAGATTGGATAACGAGTTGGCAGTTCTCATTATAATAGCTAAAAACTAGATAATGTAAAGGCCATTTGCTGAAAATGTCATTCAAATTGATCCACTATGAACCGAAAACTAAGCGATTGAAATTTCCGCCAAGCCTCGATCATCATTACGATAAACAGCATAGTCTCGATTATCCATTTAATCGTTAAATCGTGAAGGAAAGTTATGCAGTAAATCGGTTCATAATCCACTAAAGATCGCAGGCTAGCGATGCCATCTAGAGTTGATTATGGTCTGGATAGGTTAATTAATGTCTAATCAATAATTAAGATAACATTTCAGGCCTAAATAAAGACCTGCAATAGACCGATTTAGCTCTTGCATAATGTATGTTTAATTTTTAGCTAACGTTTAACTGTGTACTAATATCCAACTAAACAATATAAATATTAAAGTATCGCGAAAATGTATACATCTATGTGCATGCTTGTATTCGCTCTATTGAGCGGACAAAAATATCCCTTTTTTCGATAGAAAGTCGATATCCATCTTTTCACACTAATGACAGAGTACGGACTTTTAACACGATGAAAGAAGAGTCACGACCCCGATGTCTTGCCTAGTTTTGATTAACTTCAGGTTTTCGTCCCATCCCATCCCTTTGTCCTGCACCACTGAGAAGGAGGAATCAGACCGGATGAACTGTCGCGGCCAACGCAGGGATCGAACACCAGACCTCCAGGTTTGCGAGCCAACGTCTTTCTCACTAAGCCACCGTGAGCCCCTTACTAGCCCGTATTAAGTAAAACCAATAGTAGGTCGTCCTTGCTCCTGTTGGACAAACCATATAACTAGTATTCTTATTTTAGGGACAAACTGATCCGTAACAAATTTCGGCTCGACCGCCAATAAAGGCTTTGCATCATCAGTATGGAACAGTTTGCACCCGAAACGGAAGTTATAACGTTATAAATCTTCATGGGGGGAAATAACACCTCGTTGATAATAATCATGATGCCCCACATAAATTAGAACACGTGTGAAATACCGGATTTCAACGAGGAATGTCGATTGTAAACACACCCTTTATTTGTGGTATCGTAGGTTATAGATGGACTGTCAACGAATAGGAACCAAATGCCAAAAAATGACGATATAGCACACTATTTACCTTAGCGGAAAATTATATATCAAAGTATTGAACCGTTCGGGAATGACCGCTATAATATATCTGGGACTGCTCCTTTATTGATCGCTCCAATAGTTTTTCTAGTTGACATTCCTGAAGATGATTACTTTTATCCAGTGCCTTGTCAGTATTGTCAAAATGACAAAAATTTAAATTTGGGTAACTTTTTGGCAACGACTTTATGCTTACTCACCATTGAAGTGTTTCAAGCGATTTTTTTAGACATAAATTTTATATAAAATAGAAGCATTTAATTTTACGAACAAGTATCTAAAATAAATTCTTTGTTCGATTTGACAAGGATTAATTTTTTATATATATATATATATATATATATATATATATATATATATATATATATATATATATCATTGCTAGTAAAATATCAAATAGTAATTGCTGATGAATTGTTGTATGTGCAGTTGGGTTAAATTTTATTTAGTTTAAGGTATAAGCGTGAACTAGTGTTGTTTATTGATATGTGGGTAAAGGTATTATTGTCAAGTCGCTGAGAAACAATATTTACCTGTGTACTGTCCGTAAAGCTAATTATCTTAACTTCAACTCGCGATATGAAGAATGTTAGACATGAATGACTAGACGGCTTGTCAAGTGTCAACATTAAAAAAAAAGAATTTTCATGATGTTGTAAAGAGCATATTTCTTTAAAAGCTTAAGTTTTCTAAACCTTGTAGCCCTTTTCCCTATCACATACTAACTATATAAGCAAGTGTATGTCAAGGTATAAGCGGATAAAAAAACAAAACAAGCTAGATATTAAATGCATAAAATTTAAACTAAATGTCAGAATATTGTTACTAAATGAAAATACATTGGGGGGAGGGGTGCAATACTGGAGATATTAATGTCAAAATTTATCAGTCTATTAATAAATTTAAATAATCCACCTTAAGGTAGTCGAAACTGGTCACAACTTGGAATAAATGGATGTGACATTAATTTTGTAATTGTAGCTTGATGAAAAGCTGTTTAATTCAGATTATTGCCTTTACAAAAATTTTCACTGCGGATATTGGAATTTCTGATCCGGATGGGTACTAGATGACATATACCATTGGCATGAGGTTCATGGATGTAGTCACCAGGACCGACATATAATATAGGACCAATTTACAACTTGGTTCAAAGACACTTTGCTCAATGCATGTATTTCTTTTTCGAGATTCAAATAAATCTTGTAGCAATGTCAAATTCTTATAAACTATAATGTTGTTTGTAGGTTATGATTATTCGGAGGTGTTGGGAAAATCCCTTTTATTTTACGAAGCACAGAGATCAGGTCGTCTACCGTTAGCCAGAAATGTTGCATGGCGTGGTGATTCAGCTACGAATGATCAGGGGATATTTGGAGAAGATTTGTCTGGTGGCTGGTATGACGGTTGGTTTGGGTTCAGTTTTCTGTTTCATGGGAAAATACAATATTGAAATTGTTTTTGGCCGATACTGCACAATATAAACGAGAATTTTATAAGATATAGCCACATAAACGTCATATGTAAACTTGTGGTTGGTCACATTAGACATGCACTGTTTTGTCAAGATAATACACGTCTCGAAATGGAATGTAAGACTCTTTTACCATGACACCAAGAAGATGGTATGTTAGATGGAGAGGGAGAGGGAGAAATGGGGTTTAACGTCCACGCAACACAAACTAGGTCATTTCGGGACTAACATATGCTTCAAGTTTATTTCCATAATTCGCTTGCGCGTAGGGGTCTTCAGCAGTGGGAGGAAACGGGAGAACCCACGGGGATGGACAGGCGACCATTCTCCTTGTCACGTACAACCGGGGAATCGAAACCACGCCAGTTGACTCAATGACAGACTTTATGAAACAGCCCGCACGTGCTAACCATTCAGCCATTCACCCCCCCTATGTTAGATAGATTTTGTCTTGTGATAGCTTCAAGTACTTAACGACTTGAAACATTTTTGGATAGTCTGTGTTGTATTCGTGTAATATTTGATCTATTTTCTGTCAAAGAGTTCAGGGTGTGGTGTTTATTAGCCATTGAATACAGATATATAGTATTAGAGTATGGAGTAACACAGATAATGCAAATAGAATCGTTAACAAATTCTTGTGACGTAAAACACATTTACCAAATATGTCATCATGGTTATCATCACCCTCTTCCTCCTCTTCATCATCGCCATCTAAATTTTGTAGTGTTGTTTCATTGTAGCTGGGGATTATGTAAAGTTTGGTTTACCTATGGCAGGAGCGACAACTCTACTAGTATGGGGATTGATTGAGTTTAAGAGTGGTTATGAAGCAGCTGGGTTGTTAGCGAACATTTATGATTCTGTTTTATGGCCATTGGCGTATTTCATGAAAGCTCACCCAACAAAATTTGAATTTTATGCTCAGGTAAGTGGGGAATCTGGCACATAATTGTCTTGTGAACAGACACATTGGCAGACTGAGTTCTGGTTCCTCGGGCCAACTAGTTTCCTTGGATCATCTACCGATATTGAGCTGTCTGCCCCCTTGTCCCCAAAATCTTGTGAACGCGAAATAGGCTACTGTTTTTACTGGATCTGTTTCAAATCTCGTCTGGATAATTTTATTCTTGAGAGGATGAACCCTATCGATATTTAGTATTCCACGACCTTTAAATCGGAGCCCGGGGACCCTTGGACCACGTCCACCAGTCCGATGCCCTGTCCACGCCTGCACTGAAATACATAAGACTAAACATATCAAATTTAGTGACAATGTTTTGGAGTCTTCCTGTCCAGCATGAATCGCCTGGATTAAGCATCCTATCCTAATAAGAGGTAGTTCCCATGGCAACCGTTAAATACTGAATATGCTGTTAACATTACAAAATTAACTGTTATAGGTTGCCGACCCGTATGTAGACCATAGTTATTGGGGTCGACCAGAAGATATGAAGATGTATCGACCTGGATATAGATTATCACCAGAACGACCAGGAAGTGACGTCATCGGAGAAACAGCTGCGGCTCTAGCTGCGGGCGCAGTAGCGTTTAAATCACGTGGTTAGTAGGTGTACCTCTTGTAAGGACACAGTTGACCTCTTTTATTTATATGAATGACTCATTAAATTGCTATATTAAAAATTATAAGATCAACGCCTGTCTGTTCTACTAAATTGAAAATTTAACTGAAATTCAACATAAGACACCAAAATTCGAATTCAGTACTTTAATTTTTCACATAATTCAAACAGATTCTGTCACATTCAAAACCAAAGTTCAAACATTTATGTTTGTACTGTTTCCTTTCAAAACGAGAACCTCCACGCTTGCTTAGAAGGTTGGCCATCCATGCTGTATATAATATTTGAATAACAATACAGTAGCTTGGGCCAGAAGGCTTGATTCATTTTGTCGTAAACGTGGAGAAAATACTTTGACAAATTTGAAGAATCTGAATTAAGCTAGTAGATCATAATTGTGTTTTAGAATGTTATAAATAACTATATAAATGAATACACTACTCGATGTGTAGGATATGGTAGGCATAAAGCGTATATTATACAATTAAAACATTGTCAAGATGGCGTTAGTGTAAGGGGTAACTTACTTCATTTTACAGATGCCCCGTTAGCTCTACAAATGCTAAAACATGCAGAAGAACTATTTGAATTTGCGGAAACATATCAAGGAAAATACAGTGATGTGTTGACAAACGTTCAAGAATTTTATGCGTAAGTTGTGTATCTGATCTTTTGAATTATAAAATCTACCCATAATTACTGCTACCATATGTTAAATAAACGCCGGGTTCTATATGTTAAATGGCCTTCTGGTACCATGGCATATGACCTACTGTCATTATATTTTGAGATATTGTCATACTAGCATAAGGTTAAATTTTGTAGGATCACTTGTACAAAGGTAGGTAGGAAAATTTGCGTTTCTGTCTGCTTTTTATGAGATTACAATAGTCATATCAAGCATGTTCCTTTACGTATACCCAAATGTGTACACGACAGAGCTTTGTCCCATCTAAACTATAAGGCAACCGTTTAGGTGTCTTGTCAACGCCAAGATGTTTTACCTGCGACTGCTACACATTCTTCTTGTGTGCTCTGTGCTAAAAATATAATATAATATATACCCACATTGTCCTGTGACCAGGTATTCCATATTCCCTTATTTGTAGGTCTAGTGGCTATGAAGATGAATTATGCTGGGCTGCAGCCTGGTTATACAGAGCGACAGGACTCAAGAAATATTTAAAAGCGGCGGAACGGTATTATAGACGAGGTAGTTCCTGGGCTCTGTCCTGGGATGAAAAGAGAGCAGCTTCCATGGTAAAGTATATAAACGCTTAAAAATACTTTTCTCAACTGTCTGCGTCCTAAATTCTATCCACCTTTTAAATATAATTTAGTTTATCTTAAAGTTAGAAGTGAATGTAGCATATATTGTATCAGCATCGTTAATTATATTAGCAATACAGCCGGACCTGTCAGAAGTCATTGTAAGGCGACACTGGGCAATATCGAGCAGAATGTTCAAACAGGAAGATAAATCTGTCGGGTTTCGTTATCGTTTCTATACGATTCTATAGTCAGCAATTATGTATCCGTTACCGATACTAAGTAAAGCGATTACAATTCACCAAAGTCAGTCAAACTGAACTTGTATTGAATAACCAAGAGTCTGACTGACGTTTGATGTTCTGTTTCAGGTCTTGTTATATACTTTAACCAAACAAGATAAATATAGAGAAGATATAGAATCAACAATAAAAGACTGGATGCCCGGTGGATCTGTTCAATATACCCCAAAAGGATTAGCCTACAGATTACGGTGGGGTTCGCTTCGATATACAGGTAAATATGAACTGTATAGATTTAACCACCGTAGTCGTGTTTCTGGGGTTTAAACTTGTTTCCTATCGGCGGGTGTAGTGTCATGGGTCTTCTGTCAGACGTGGAGAGCGGACGACATGCTAAAATCGGTCGCCACCTCCGGCGTATGACCCATGCATCTTTTCTTACTACATATATTAGTAGCCTTGTGATCGTCTAGTATTTTCACTTGTCGTCTTTGCTTCCCCTTCACGTTGTGTATTCTTTTCTCCTCTATCTCAGTTAGTTAAGACGTTTGTCTCAGTAGTTATAACAATGCAACAGTTCGTTTTTTACATTTTATATATCAAGCTGCTTACATATGGTACAATGCATAATAGAATAAAGTCATTCTTTCAAACCCTATCCAGCCTGACTCGCTGGGGCGAGTCTGCTGATAGAAATTGCTACATCTTTTCCCTTCTAGAATCAAGCTGTTGTCTAAAAAATTCTCACAAGTATGTAGCTTTGGGTTTTGGACCACCAATTAACTAATTGGTCAAATATGCTGTAAATAATTATAGAGATTGGTTACTCAAGCCGAATGATGCAATGGGTAAATTTCAAATCACGTGTTAAACATGATATTCTCATTCCCACGAAACCAGCTAATGTTGACCAAATTATAACTCTTTTTATATAACAATCTGTCATTCATTCGCTCACTTTGATTTAAGTACATATATGTGAATCTAATAATTTGCCAAAGATATTAATTGATTCAATGCTACTAATTTAAAGAGCAAACATTCTACAAAAGTCTTACACGGGTTCGTTGGTAATTCCCTTCGATATACAGGTAAATATGAGCTATACATATTTAACCGCAGTCGCGTTTTGGGGGTTTAAATTTGCTTCCTATTGGCGGGTTCGTTGGTAATTCCCTTAGGTTCATTCGGTTAATTTGTATGCTTTCCTGGGTCGTGTGGAGGTATGCGTCTTTACCCTTATGTAGGCGGTTCGATTCTAGAACATCCGATACTGGCATAGCAAAAAGAAATATGGTGCAACTTTATTTTGATATCTTTGTTTTTCTTTTAGCGAACATGGCGATGATCGCCCTGATGTCAGCCAATGCCGGCATCAATCCCACAAGATATCGCGTATGGGCGAGGAAACAGATACATTACATGCTTGGGGATGGTGGTAGAAGTTATGTTGTAGGATTTGGTGTGAATCCACCAACTCGACCACATCATGCATCCAGGTAGTTAAACTTATATTTAATTTTATTTTAAAGGCGTAAACATATTTTTATTTGTGTCTAAAATAATCATTGTTCATACGTATAATATATGGATGGTACCCCACTCTCCCATTAACACTATACACAGTGTTTCTATCAGACTATATGTTTGAATAATCAATCATGATATATGCATCTATTACTTACTCTTTCTAGAACACAAGGCAATTCTTTTCGTAGATAACAATAATATTGTATCGTTTGTATACCATGCTCTGTTCTCTTGTTTCAGTTCTTGCAGCTCTCCACCGTGGCCGTGTACTTGGGCCGACTTCTATAAAAATGGGCCTAACACTCACACCTTATACGGAGCCTTGGTTGGTGGACCAGATGAATTTGATAATTTTATAGATGACCGAGCCGACTATGTACAGAATGAAGTCACGTGTGATTATAATGCTGGATTTCAATCGGCAATAGCGGGTAAATAACTATAGATCACAAATATAATTAGGCCTGGTAGAAACTCTGCATCTTGGCCTGTTAAACGAAATTAAACTTTTATTGTCATTTAAATTTGATAACATAATATTCTAAACATTATTTTCAACAAGCATACTGTAATAATAATACTAGTGGGCTAACGTAACTTCTCGAATGTGATTGGTCAGTGAATTTTTCCAATCCGCGCATGCAAAGCGCCACCAGGGAATCAATGGCAGTCTAGAATTAGGTTATCCCTTATTCTAGACATGACCAAACTGTTTGTGTGTTGTATACTAGTAAACTGTATTTATCATTATAGAATAGGCCATACTTTTATATCTATGGTTTTCTTTTACAGGTTTAAAAGAACTCCAAGTTAGGCACCGAAACCATTTATAACAAGATGGCTACGGAAACATTGTTACATTGGTGGACTGTTTTACTCTATCCGAACAAATAGTGTGTATCCAGTTGTGGTCGAACTCGTTATTGATAATTCCGTTTATGAGACATGTGAATAGGGTTACCTCCCCTGTAACATATATCGTGTTGAAAATGCACGATTGTCACGTATAACAAAACGGCAATGTTTCTTCGTACATTAAAACCTTTCTCAGGTTCAAATACTAACTAGTGTAAAAACCTGAACTACGCTAGATGTCACCTTGGTGTGTAAAACTTTATAATGATTTATGTTCATATGCCCAGACTATCTGTTGTCAAGAACACCCGACATGGCTTATAGTAAATGCAGCCAAACAGCAACAAAAACAACAACGCCAGACTGGAAAATCATGTGAAAACGGACATTCTGAAACAGGGATGAATTCAGATGCTCGTCCACGATGTCCCAATTCTTGTAGTCAAATGCAACTATCAAATCATGTGAATGACCCAGAGTGTACACAGAATCAGATTATAATGTGTAATGTGCATCATAAAATTTAATGAATCTCTTGCACATGTCTTAATTATAGCAATAACCGATCAATCTTTGACCTGTAGGTTTCCTTCAAAGTAATTACTGACAGGTCGCTGGTAATGTTTTACATGTATATAATTTCCCATTGCTTGATTAAAACTAGAGAAGCCTAATCAAAATGTCACTCAGTAAAAATCTGTAATTGTGTACCATAGAACTGTGACGGGGTGTTCCCACTTAGCCGGCAGGCTTTGATGTCAAATTTTGCCGCTAATCCAGAGTTAATCCTAGAACAATGGTGCTATAAACTATAGTTCATATCTTTTTTAAGACTAAAACTGTATTGATTTTAACAAATTTAACTTGTATTAAATAACTTTAATCTTTACATTATCTGGTTGATGATTGTGTTTGGTTCCAACAGTGGTAAGAACATCATTCTTGGTGTTGACAGTAGCTGGACAAGTTTTTGTTGAACATTTCCAATTGACGGCTTGACTTTATACTGAACTTGTAACTATTGTGTATTAAATATCGGCCACCTCGATTATTGGAGATAAAGCGAATATTAACCTGAACGTTTGCCATTTTAAAATAAATATAATTTCGACACAGATCGACCATCTATTTATATTAATATAGTGAATTGATTTTATTAAGAGGGATTAAGAGCTCATTAACGCTGAACACTAGTGAACAGTTCTTGAGTGACTACTTTTAAACAGACTATAGTTTTAAGATCAATCAAAGGATTAACAGTCTGCCGGCTAAGTGGGAACACACCACTGTGACATGTGTTATTCCATTTCATTTACTGATTGCCATTGAAACGAGTAGAATACATCCACAGGCAGTTAATTGAAGTGATCGGATTAACGGTAATCCCGACAAACATCACATAAAAAGCATGTACTGTAACTAACATTGCGTTATGATTTCATGTTGTACTCCGTTCCTATAGGTCTATTTTCTGGTGAATTAGGGAAGGGGTGAGGAAATGTTTAGACCTTCTGTCTTATTATGTGTAAGTGATTGCGGTTTGGATCCTGGATTTGGATTTGACAAGGCACAGGGTCACCTGTTTAACCACGTGGATTTTCTCTGATCCTCTCTCTGGACTACAACTATTGTGGCCATTGACAATCCTGTAATGTTTTAAAGAAACCCTCCTGTGTACAAACTGTGTGATTTGATGATATATTTCGACTAAAACATATTCAAACTAATTAATCTGCCACAAATCCCTCTCAAAACTTTGTATTCGGGAAGAGATACCCCAAGCTAAAAAAAAATCTATTTTAGAGCCATGTTTGTCACTTAATTTGATTAGGGGAGGGTCCATTTTCAGAATGTATTTGTCATTACTTACTGTCCATTTACCATACATATTGCGGCCTAAGTAAATTCTTGAATTATTTTCTGCCAACTTCTTATTCGCCGTTTAATTGCAGATTCTGTTATACGTTTACACCCCTCAATGTTCTCACATCCGCCTAACCATTCGATCAAAAAATAACAAAACCGTCCCCAAAGTCAAGCTGGCAGACATTAAGCGGTCAGGTTGCCAGCTAGTGATACCCTGACATGTTTGCCCAGCGCTTGCCCCATGGGTGTTTTCCTAGTAAGATTTGGCGTCTATAATTTTGAAATATACCATACTTGCCATACTTTTATTGGAAATAACCACCCGATAAATTCTGTCGTGAGAATGTATCTTTAAACGATTAGGATTATTTTATGGTAGATTTTTTTTGTACAATAAATATTTTAATATAAAATCAGCGACCACGATATCCTTTTGTTTTTTGTATTGTTGTATACAGACATGGGTCAAATACCGACTAAGTACAGATTAGCGATGATTGATTGCATTCTAGATCTTCGATCTGTTCCTTACTGCAGGTCAATGGACGATTTAGATACAGTTTAATTCAATTGTTTATTGTTACGTTGTTGACAACGTGAAAAACAATAGGGACAATTATTTTCTCTACAAAAATATATTAGTTATCTGTAAAGATCTTTGTCTGGTCGAATAACAGTATTTTAATTTATTTTCTGGTATCAAGTCACCGATTTCATAATAAATAAAGTTGCTGACTACATCTATAAATACACTGGTTATTTTGGTATTAAGTTAGTGACCATGTGCATAAATAAACTAGGTCCACAAATAGTCTGTATATTTGTTATAAACTCAAAGATGTTTACCATAAAAAAACTGGGTATTTGTTATAACCCAAGGGAGCATTAATGCTTGCTTGCCTGATAACTGATTTAGGGGTTAACCTCCGCTTCCAACGAGGGGGGTATCACAGACAAACCTGCCAGAAGAGCCAACCACCGTAGAGTAGGGGAGGGAAGACGAAAAAGAAATATGGGCCGTCATGTGAGTTTTCTGTCAAGAATTACACCAATACTGATCCTGGAAATGTAATTACACCCGTGATACCTCAAGTACCAACTAACAAACCAACAGTTTAAAGAGCAGAGGTTTAGAAGCATCAGTCAGCAGTAACTACGAGTAACACATTTTCTGTTACTCCAAACGGTGCTATAGTCTGTAGCCACTATTGTATCCTTCCCTAGGCAACCGATGGTGTCGTTCAACATAACCCTGTAGCCTAAATGTCGGACACATAATCACTGAAAGTGATTAACGGCATTATTTAGTATAATATGAGTACACTGAAAATCAAAACTATATACATTGACGGATTGAATTTTGTGATTTAAGACATACATAATCATAAAGTAAATGAGACTGAATTGGAGCAATCTGGTTAAAACACAGATCCTATTTCGTTTCGTTTTTATAGTTCAAAATTTCGTTTTACTTGTTTTTACCACACTTGGATCTGGAAGAGTTGTTATTTAGTGGAAGAGTTGTTATTTAACTCGTGTTCTGAATGGTGTCAGTGATAAGCCCAATGAAACGGTCGGTTACGGCGAGCTTTAGGTGTGTTTTTCACGGAACTGTGGGTAATCCACTAGTCACATCAATGCTAATTGGTTAATCAAATGTCTGCCGTCAAAAGGGTTATAAGTCGGTCTTTTGACCCCTGACGTGACCTATCGCTATAACTTGTCAGATCTTCATGTAGTGTAGGCCATCGAAAGTATAAAAAAACGAAAGGAAATATAGATCTGTATTGGAATTGGAGAAACTTGTATCAATTTGTCTACCATCCTCGTCGAAAAGTCGCATAGTAACGAATTCAGAAATAGTTTATCTCGCGTTTGCGCTGTAGAATTATGCGTAACAGATGACAGATTGTACCGGACACACGACAGATAACAATTACACTTCGAGGCCAAGACCACCTATTTCATAACCCAGTTTGGCAACCAAGGCCAGTGAAACGCGTGATTGGCAGTTTAATGACCCATACTATGAGAATGGTGTAGTATTTATGTTAAAATATAAGGTAATAATTTAACACAACATAGTAATAGTAAATTCCGGATACGTAAGTCAAGGATTAATGTCACGAGTCTCCTACATATTGGGTTGAGCACTAGATAACAGTTCCATTGGATAACACAACATAGTAATAGTAAATTCCGGATACGTAAGTCAAGGATTAATGTCACGAGTCTCCTACATATTTGGTTGAGCACTAGATAAAAGTTCCATTGGATGACCCAGATATTCTAATTTACATTTGAAAATATGGCGGCCATTCTCAGTCCCTCAGAACATTCGGTCGCCCATCGTGGGCCCCGTGTTAACTCATTCGATAAGGCCCATTTTACACCAATTCGATTTGCCAATGACCTTGGTGTCTCTGATAAATATATATGAGTGACACGATGCTTCTTCACAACGGTATAGACATGACGAAGTTTCAAAATATGTTGAAGATGATTACAAAATCTACGTTCACATGAACCTGTCACATGACATCGCTCGCAAAAATAAGTAAAGTAACAAGTGGCATCAGCTCTTTTTTTAAAATATGAAATTAAATAAAATGGCGTTTAACGTCGACCGTCCTACTTTTCTGCAACGACTGGTACACTGCAACAAGCGCCATTTTGGCTGGATAGTGGCGCTACGGCCGACTCTTATATCAAATTTCAACTTCCAAGGGATCTTTTACCTGCACGCTAATATGTATATAGGGGGCCTTTTCGCCAACACCCCCACCCCCAATCACACCCGAGCGACAATATGCTGTTTCTTGCCAGTCCCTCTGTACAGCAACACTGACAAGGGGGAACCGCGCTGGAAAATCCCGATTAGTTTTCCTGGCCAACACTGTCATCGAACATTTTAGAGAGCCAACGGATTATTCAATGAGCCACAGTCCCCGTAATTATACCAATCGCAGCCCTAATCAAACTCTTACTCATACTTTAATGTGTTTGGAACACCTAATACGACTTCTTATAGCTTAATGACGACTACACGGATGATAGCACATTTCGTAGTACTTTAGTTTCGTATGATTATCTTATCTGTTGTTTGGTAGCACAGATTGTATGGGACACACGCCAGATAACGCATGGACGTGTGTATATCACAACAAAACCCAACAAATTTCATAAATCAGTTTGGCCGCACAGAGAGATATATTGGTAACAGGTAGGTTGATGGTCTATAGTAAGTTTGGGTAACATTGTCAATATTTGATTATTAAAAATGTAAGCAATTACCTCAGGAAAGGCGATTCAGCTCCCCAGGTGACGTTGACTAATAGTTTCCGGTCCTATACATTTTAAAATAACTCCATAATAACAACAAGTTGTTTTTTTTAAAACAAGAATTGTAATGCTGCTATTTATTTTGTATTTGGTACAATATTTAATAATGAAATTGACGATTGCAGATCATTGGGTTATTGTTACAAAAATGGAAATACACGCTACAGACTTTATCATCGTTGTTTCACATATTCTGACCCAGTTAATATTTAAGTTTAAAGTATACATGGCCGTATGAGGACTGATATTTTAAAATGAGATAAACATTCTAGAACATTCGGTTTCACTCCAATATTAGCGGACAAAAATTCTGATCTTATTTTTACAAAGTGATAATGCTCCTTTAACACTGCTTGTATTTTAATAAAAAAAATATTTTAGTTTATTTCTTAATTCTAGGCATCTTTGTTATGTTGGTTTTCTTACTTCTATTGGTAACGTCAAGTTGCCTCGGAGGTGACGTCACGACCAAATTTACAGTTCAAAAACATTGGCGTAACAACTTTGAAGGTTCTTTTTGCTTCCACCTTACTTCAGACATAGTTGGATTTGAAATCTTCGTCTCATTTGATAGCGGTGTAAAGAGTCTGCGGGTACCATTTTTATTTATATTATTGACAGGTTTTAGTTACAATTTGCAACATTTATGTCGTATTCATGCACGGTTTCTCCATAGTTGCTGAATAGTTTGAGATTTCCATGCAATGCCAATGAAATGGAGGTTCTACTATTTCTCCATCTGGCCTAGTGAGGACTGGAATACGCCATTTCTTATTCAAACTGTCAAGGTCTCGTTTACGTGCACGCAATTTCAAGACACCCCCCCCCCCCCCCGGCCCTTGTTCAGGACCCTCCGCCCTGCACCCGAGTAACTTTCTCGGCCAAAACCCGATAGATCCCTGGACTTCTGGGTTAGCGATCCAGACGTGCTCACTTCTAATCCCTTCATTCTACACTCCTATAAAAAGGATTTATTTCGTCAAATCGCCAAATGACATAATATATTATTTTAGCAATTCGAGTGTGAATGGTTAGGGAAACACCCTGATTGTGCGTCCAAGATAACTTTGGTGAATAAAGTATCAAGAGCACTTCATAAAAAAGGAGAAGATCTGTGCATCCGATTCCTTGGAGAACTTTGTGGTGACGGTACACCTTCTGGATCAGCTACTCTGAAAGATTTAACAGTTGATCATCAAAAGGTCCCCGCTGTTCCTCACATAAGTGGTAAGACTCAAATTGTATTTTAAAAAAATGAAAATGTCAATGTTTAGAAACCAGTACTCCATAAATATTTACCTGGGACTATTGCTACATTTGCTTATTTGTCCAAAGGTTCCACTGTACACGTGCTGGCTGTTCATGGACACAGTCTTAAGATATAGGTATATCTTACAGTTTACTAAAACGGTCTTCTACAAACCCCAACAAAATTAAATGTGTCCAGTTGGTATAAACTATCATTTCATGGAAATCTGTATATCTGATTGCATACCCGTGCTTTACAGGTTTACAATCCACTAAATACAATTATGCCGAAGTTCTGGAAAAGTCAATCCTGTTTTATGAGGCCCAGAGATCGGGTAAACTTCCAAAAAATAACAGAATACCATGGAGGGCTGATTCAGCTCTGGGTGATAAGGGAGATGCTGGAGAAGATTTGACCGGTGGATGGTACGATGGTAAGTTTCTTGTTCAATTCTTGGTTTAATTCATTTGTGTTTTTACTATTATTTAATGCGTTATACTTTTGTCCTAATAGGTGGGAGATACACAGTGGCTAAGTGAGTAAGATGCTGTCTTGCTAGCCTGGAGAACACGGATTCGATCCCGGTGTTGGCCGAGAAAATTCATCGGGATTTTCCGGCGATATTCCCCCTTGTCAGCGATACAGGACGGAGGGCAGCTGTCTAATCGTTCGGATGGGACGATAAACCGAGGTCCCGTGTCCACAATGGCGTGAACGTAAAAGATGCCTTGACTGTAGGAATTCGATATAAGAGTAGGCCGTAGCATCGCTGTCCGTGCAAAATGTCCCTACAACAGTACACTGTATGGCATAGAGCCGTCTTCATTAGCTTAATCGGAGCAGAACAGTAGGACGTTAAACCACATTTTTATTTCATTTTATGTCCTAATAGGTGGCTTTAATTGCCACTTACTATATATCGTGCAGTTTACCTGTACGTACAATGATTGTCTACCTACAACCCACAGTTGTATATTAGCAAGGAATTAATATTTACATCGTTTAAACGTTGTTACATTTAATATTTAATAGCTCAATTTTAGAGATTTTATCAGTGATGTGAGTAAGAAAATAAAACGATAGTAATTGGCAACATACAATACTTTATTTCGATCACACAAATCAAATACAATTCTATGAATAAAATAAGGTAGATCATTGTAAAGTACTTAGCCGTTATTGAATATTTAGTACCGGATTTAACTTGATACCAACAACAGTAAATTGAGTCGTCACAAAACCATTTTAAATTAACATTCATTGAAGGATATCATTCTTTAAGCTTAAAGGACGTATGGTTCTATTTTTTGGAAGCTTGAAAAAGACAAAAATGGTTCTAAAAGCATATATTAATGTAATATGAATGTATTTAAAGCGATTTATGTTACAATTTTTGAAAAAAAATATTATAATTTTTAATCAATTATGTTCGGTGAAATATGTGAACACGTTTTTAAAAATTATTATTTTACTTCCACATTGTGTTGTAGGATATGTTTTTGTTTTGTTCATTAGAAAATGACACTCGAAACCAAAGGGTACTGATTATAAAATGTTAATTGTGTCTTGAATATTGGATATTAGGATCCTATAGTTTTACGGCAAGATAACAACATCAGTATTGATTGGAATTGATCAAAACTATATTCTAATTTGTGTTTTTAATTTCGAATATTATCGCCTTTTCCTCAGCTGGAGATAACGTAAAGTTTAATTTTCCTATGGCTTGGAGTACAACCGTTTTGACCTGGGGTTTGATCCAATGGAAAGATGCCTATGAGAAATCAGGACAATTGGACTACATGTATGATTCTATCAGATGGCCCATGGATTATCTTATGAAATGTCACAGCAAAACTAATGAATTATACGTTCAGGTAAGTTATAATTTAACCCACTGTCTATTCCAGGCGACACTACGATTCGATAAATACTTGCTATTTCTTCGATTTTTAATTAAAATGGCTAAAACCGAACGACCTACCTGGAATTGTCACCCCTTTGATTTCGAAATATGTGAAATTTACAAGAGAAAAATGTATTTTATCGAACTTATAGCTCGACGAAGAATGCAATGGGGTGACAATTCTATGTATGTCGTTCAGTTTTAATCATTTTAATTAAAATGTAGAAATAGCAAGCAATGGTCGAGACGTAGTGTCGCCTGGAACAGAGTATTGGGATAAAGTGCAAGGACGATCCATTGAGAAAAGCGCCACCAATCACGTCGATTTTATTTATAAACTCCGTAACGCTCAATCCATGAATAAAGTGTATGTGTTTGGTTTCGAACTCCTATATCCCCAGATGATAATTATTGCGCTAGATACAGGGTGCCAATATATTTTCTTTTGATTGTCAGTCTAATGTTGTACATTCTTTAATTGATTCCCCTGATTTGTGTTAAGGTGGGTGATGGAAACATTGATCACAGCTCATGGACAAGTCCAGAACGAATGACCAGTCAGAGACCCGCATTTAAGATCGACACATCGCATGGTGGAGCTGATGTTGCCATGGAAACAGCAGCTGCCTTGGCTGCCGGTTCGATTGTTTTCAAGACAAAAGGTTTGTATTAATTAAAAAAATATCTCGATAAGAAAAGTTAATTGATTCAATCCCCCCCCCCACCCCCCCACCCCAAAAAATAAAAAAAATAATAAATCTCTCAAACGAGTTGTGCACCTAATTATTTTTTTCAGAATTTAGATCTGAAGAAGGGTCTGCAGTTTCTGATACTGTCTAATAATTATAAGCTACATATGTGGCAGCCATCAGAATTTAGACACATTTTATTTATTACAGATGCCGCTTATTCTCACAAACTGCTAACACAAGCTAAATCAATTTATGATTTTGCTAGAAAGACTAATGATCGGTATAGTGTTACTGTACATGCAGCTGCTAAATTTTACAAGTAAGAGCCCAGTATATTCTTTATAATGTTAAGAGCACTGGTCTAAAGTAATCTGTGCAGTTATATCTGCGTTTAAGCTAAAATACTAACATAATAGTCCTATTATTCTACACAAGTATTGTGCTCTGAGGGTAATTTTGACCTACCTCGGGTTTCCGTGCCATCTGAACGACGAGACATTGTTCCTTGCCAGAAAGTAAATTTTATGTCCACTATCTTATGGATATAATTGATTAAATACATTATGCCAGCTTATTTAGTGATGGTCGATGACGCAAATTGTTTTCATCGTTGGAAACATTGTCTTTTTAATTTAGATGTGTTTTCTATTTAACAGATCTAGCAACGTATCGGATGAATTAGGTTGGGGAGCTGTATGGATGTATAAAGCTACTGGGGATAAATCTTATATTGCTGAAGCTGAGAAACACCACGATTCTGGTGCAGCTTGGGGATTCTCATGGGATGAGAAAACAGCAGGACTTAATGTAAGTGTCGAGTATGGGTTTTATTAGAATGAGTAATTTGTACTTAGTTTTAGTTTCCTATTTGAACAAGTATGGGCGTCCCATACACGTATCCACGCTAATAATTCATAATAACCCCATTTTCATTACCCGTTTTCTGTGAACAGAACGATGTTGGTGTATAGATTTGTCGTGTTTTTATATGCATATGTGGTATGGTTTAAATATATGGCGTAGTTGTTGTGTGTTGAATCTAGATGTTGTATGAATATAACAGTTTTGTGTTGCATCTAGATGCTGTATGAAAACGACGCGTAGCAGTTTAGGGTTGAATCTAGATACTATATGAATATAACGAGTAGCTGTTGTGTGTTGAAATTTAGATGATGTTTGAATACATCACGTAGTTGTTTTGTGTTGAATCTAGAAGCTGTATGAATGATTTATAGCATAGTTGAATCTAGATGTTGTATAAATATAACGCATAGCTGTTTTGTCTTGTATCTAGATATTGTATAAATATAACGCCTAGCTGTTTTGTATTGAATCTAGATGTTGTATAAATATAACGCATGGCTGTTTTGTCTTGTATCTAGATATTGTATAACTATAACGCATAGCTGTTTTGTCTTGTATCTAGATGTTGTATAAATATAACGCATGACTGTTTTGTCTTGTATCTAGATGTATAAATATAACGCATAGCTATTTTGTCTTGTATCTAGATGTTGTATAAATATAACGCATAGCTGTTTTGTCTTGTATCTAGATGTTGTATTAATATAAAGCATAGTTGTTTTGTCTTGTATCTAGATGTTAGAAGTTTGCATGATGAACCTCACATGGGATATCTTTGTCTGGGAAATTAAATAATGAACCAATTATATGACTGACATAAAATCTATGTTGATTATAGCATTCCTGTTTGGCCACAATTCTGATTTAAAAAAAAATCAATCCATAACCAGACATCGATTAATGCGACTCTCGTATCAGCTACTACTGAAATTCATTGTCCAAATATCAATAATCACATACATAATTTTGCTTGGCAATTTTTTCTTCACGGACCCCTTTGACTTCTCCGGCCAATGTTCATATAATTATATAATATGTTGTCTCTGATATTTAGATGCTGCTATATGAAATAACAAAGAAGGATATGTATAAACAAGATATTATCGCTACCATGAAAGCCTGGATGCCCGGTGGACATCTCCCGTACTCACCCAAATGTCTGGCTTTTAGACTAACCTGGGGAGCTTTAAGATATTCTGGTAAGGTGCTCAAAAAAAACAATTGTCAAAAAATTGGAGTAGTTGTAGGGTATGAGTAGGCCGGCCGTTTTCCTCACAACATTTAACAAGAACCCCGGTTTGTAGACATTGTCATCTCTATCTCTCTACTACCCCCCCACCCCCCGCGCCCAATCCCCAACTTAGATGTCTAACTCGTAACCCACACAAAATTTAGTTTATATATTGATTAACTTTCAAAATAAACAACTGTCAAAAATTGGTGTACATGTAGTTGTACATAGCGTAGATCGTCAATTTTCTGCACATTGCCTAACAAGAACCCCAGTTTGTAGACATTGCCAACCCTCTCTATCTCCTAATAACTCCGACCCTTATCATCCTCCCCAACCTTAGATGTCTAATTCGTCTCTCCCCTCCCCCCCAACAAATTCTAGTTTATAATTTGATTAACTTAGCTTGTATTGATTTTAATTGTAGCTAATACTGCCTTGATTGCTCTGATGGCTGCTGATCATGGAATCAATCCGGAACCTTACAGAAAATGGGCGATGAGTCAGATTCACTATGCTCTTGGTGACGCGGGTCGAAGTTATGTTGTTGGTTTCGGTAAAAATCCACCAACACAACCACATCACAGAGCAAGGTAAATATTTTACAGTCAAAATATGTTCTTCTGATTTAGCACATTTTATCCCTACTACATTGCACAAGTATTATAATTTCAGACTCTTCGTATATTTTTATGAACACCACTAAACTTAACTTTATAATCAAAGAGCGATGGATTATAACCCTGGTCTCAAGGGTATAAGTTGTCTCCCTCTACCTTTAACGACTGGAATAATTCCTAAATTAGGCTGATCAAAGGGAAAACAGTATTATTAGGTTATCTCCCTTTACCTTTAACGACTTGAATGATTCCTAAATTCGGCTGACCAAAGGAGAAACAGTATTAAATAATTAAAACTTGTTTAATTACATATACCATTCTACTAGCAGCCATTTACACGTTATTCAATGACACAAGAATTAGTAGCACTACTCGATTCTCGAATACTTGTCTGTAAATATGGCGCCTAATTCATCACTGGACGTCTGGATTCAAATCTCGACCTGGCTCGGGAAGAACCTTCTCACGTTTATCAAGAATAGCACAAGATGGCCGTTTGTTGTTTTTGTTCGGATAGGACATTCCCGTTACTTAAATAGCCATTTTGCTATAATTAAGCTATAAGAACCTTAATATTTATACATCGCTTACATATATTATTAATACTCCGTTTCGTGTTATTGGTTTTCTATTGTTAAGTTTTCGCGTTAATGACTGCACCTCTAGATACTATACACCTTTGATTTTAACATTCATTATTTTTAATATTGATCTTTTATATAATTAAAATTTATTTTTTTACTTCAGTTCATGTCCTATGTTACCAGCACCATGTGGATCAGATGCCCAACGTAATCCTGGACCCAACCCACATACACTTTACGGAGCTTTAGTCGGAGGTCCCGGTAAAAATGATGATTATGTTGATGAAAGAAAGGATTACACTAAGAATGAAGTTGCTTGTGATTACAATGCCGGTTTCCAGAGTGCTGTAGCAGGTGAGTAAATAACATAAATAATCTTATCGCAATACTTCGGCCAATTTAATTCTGTCCACTCTGCACTTCTTCGAATTTCAAATGTCGAGGGAACAAGAGGTTATAACAGAGTTCTCCATTTCCCCCCCGAAAGGCGGAATAGATCCAAATGATATGAAGCGTGGTAAATTGCACTAAGTAGTTAGATCATCATGTAGTGTAGGCTAAACACATTTAAAACATGAAAGAGGAACAATTACTAGATCATTTCTGAATTAACATATGGTGTAATTTGTTTCAATAATTCACTTGCTTGTATGCTGGGGTCTTATAAATTGCTGGAAACCAGAGTTCCCGGAGAAAACCCAAACAGTCATATACTACAAGGCTCGAATTGACAACAGATCTTGGACCGCTTGGTCATTCCTCAGCCAACCGGAATAAAATAGATATCAAATTTAATTAGACTGCTAAATTTACCCGTCCGCAATGCGGCTTCGCGACGCTATATATTCCAGACAATCAAACAGCGGTAAACGATCCTAGGGTTCAGACTTAGCGCGTCAGCACAATAATACTAAGCTATTACCCCCCGCCCCCCACAAGATCAAATCCCCACCCAGCGGTGCCACAGAACAGTAGTAAGCCACAAGCTATTCCTCACCCAACCGAAGGCGGGGGGTGGGGGGTGGGGGGTGGGGGGTGGATGGCCCAATGGTAAGCACGTGCGCGCTGTATCATAAGGCCTGTCATTGAGTCAACTGGCGTGGTTTCGAATCCCCGGTTGCACGTGACGTGAGTAGGGTCGCCTGTCCAACCTCGTGGGTTTTCTCCGAGTCCTCCGGTTTCCTCCCACTGCTAAACACAGCAAACTAATTATTGAAATAAAAATTAAAAACCATATGCTTGTCCCGAAATGACCTTGTTTGTGTCGAGTGGGCGTTAAACCCCATTTCTCTCTCTCTTTCTCTCTCTCTCACCCAACCGAATAGAAATAAATATCAAATTAGATTGTTAACAATGTATGCTGTATTTTGAAAATTATATTGCTATCAATGTGTGATGTATTTTTTAAAATTAAACGAGATTGCTAAAAAAGTATGCTGTATTTTTAAAATGTAATTGGAATGCTACCAATATATGCTCCATTGTTAAAAATGTATTTTTCCTCTTTGTTCTTTTCTCTCAGGTCTACTTCACCTGTCCATAAAGCACCAGCTACCATCAGAATACCACAGTATATGTAAATAATATATAATGCCGTAAAATAGCGGATGCAAACCAAATCAATAAAACATTATTTTACTTTCGGTTTTTACGTTTATTTTTGTTTAATATGTCTGACAAGATGTAGCATGTTTGTAAATTCCCCAGCTTCTCTTTAATTATTAAAACCGATTTAAAATCTACCCAAGACCAAAGGTAGAGTTTAGCATAGTTACCCATGCCTTATCTCACACAACTATAAATCGCTTATCACATGTTGGTCGCGAAAGTTCCCCGGAATTTACCAGTGGTGCAAGACGGAGGCCTGGCGAGGAACAGCGTATAGTCGTTCGGATGGGACGAAAGAAAGAGATCCCGTGTACACCCTGAAGCGCACGTGAAAGAACTTTTGGCAGTTGGAATCAGTCCGTCTTCAATATTCCAGTCGGTACAGAAATGTAGGACGCTAAACCTAGTTTATATACGCATTCATGTATTGGTTACCGCTTTGTTAAAAACAAGCTTGACGTGGACCTGGGATTTTAATATAACCAAGCTAAACATGCATTATGTAAGATCTAAATCTGCCTATTACAGTTCTTTCATTTGGTTTCAAATTCTATATAAAATGTTATTTAGGTTAGGCATTTATTAAAATAACAAGCCTTAATCCACTCTCTAGACCACCGGATGACCGGGAATTAATGTAGTAAAATACAATTTAATAATTTAATTCAAAAATGGATTATTCTAGACAGTCTCGACTGACAAGTGCCTTTTCTGCGATAATAAACAATCTACCCTACTCTTCAAAGGCTGATAACTTCGCTCAGAATAAAGTAATCTGAATGACAATTCAATATATTCTTTATCTAATTCTTTACATAATGCACCTTCAACTAGGTTTTGGTCACAGGGATGATAGTAAATGGATATGTATATTGGCAGGGTTGCTCCGTATGACTAGCCCACCAATCATATCAACAACAAACTTTCAAAAATAGGTACTACTAAAACGAAATTCCAAACAAAATCTTCAAACAGTTTCTTATGCTTCCGACTCTCTCCCACTCGTTAATTAGTACAGTTTTCATCAGAAAGGCCGTGAAAATAATGACTCAGTTCTCCCGATGTTAATAATATCGAGGCATATTTAACAAATGAAACTATATTACTTAATACTAAAATCATTTTCAAATCATTGACACGCCAATCCCAACCCACCAAACCAGTTGACTAGTTCGAAATTACATCCTTATTTTAATGAAGTACACACCGCAACACAGTAGTTTATCTACTAATATTACCTTCACTACCAATGCAAATATGCCCCCATGATTGCCGTGAAAAGCATAAACATGACAACAAGATGGGACCAGTGATTATCATGGCATTCAACTCCATAACTCGAACTAATCTTCTTATGCTCGAGATTAAGTAGTTCAAGTTAAAGACTTCAAGGTCATTATGTAGGAATATATTTATCTTATCTATCGTTTTATAAGACACGGGCTAGTCACAGATAACATAAATACATAAACTCAGTCCACGCATTGTATTATTCAATTTGGCAGCGGAGGTGTACTTGAGACAGGTAAGGTCTTAATGTACCAGAATTGTTCAGTAAATCTAAAACATAGAATCAATTTAGGAAACAGAAGCACAAGTTTAATTGTGAACGACACCAGTCGGTACTAATGGATAAATGGCTATAATTTGCATCATATTTAGCTGGGCAATAATCCCGTCCGAATCATTGGACAGCGTCTTAATCGAGAGCTTCACACAACAGGCATCTTTTGATGTACTTATTTTATTTAATTGAGTGACGTTATTATAGGAAGGGTACCCAGAAGAACACGGTCTAACTGACGTAATATAATGAGGACACTAGTTTTGCGTTTTACCAAGAAGAAAATTAACAGATAAAGTTTATATTTCGCTCTTTAAAAATGGCACTATCCACTGTAATAAGTACAATCGAAAATTAACCGATATAGCGCTTAACCAATCAATAATCGCAATGATACTTTAAATCAACCTAATTCAACAATTTACTTAATGATAAATCATAATATGGAGATCGGGTTTCAATCCATTATAAATCGCGATCATCCGATGGCCCAGAAAGTTGATTATGGGCTTGCCGCGTGAATAACTGTCTAATTAATTTATTTAACCTTTGAGACCAAACGAAAGATATCGTGTAACTTTAAGATGTAAATGTTCACAAATTATCGCAACAGACTTTCATAGCATAATGCCATTGCTAACGATATTATACAATAAACTGGTTTTATAAAAGCTATACCCATTGCCAAAAGAGGATTCAGTAAGTGTTCTTTACTTCTATTCTAGCTAGCTTTGCCATGTTGGCCTTCTTACTTCTACTGGTAACATCCGGTTGCCTTGGTGCTGACGTTACGACCAAATTTGCGATAAAGCAGCACTGGGATAACAACTTTGAGGGCTCCTTCTGCTTCCACCTGACATCTAATTTAGTTGGATATGAAATCTTTATCTCTTTTGATAGCGGTGTAAAAGAACTCCAGGTACTTAAACTAACAAATGTATTGATACGTTTTGTGGAATTATAGTCAATTAGGTTATTTATACTCTTCGTTCAATGAGCTTGAATAATAAAATGATAAACCGACTATTAACCATTATAAACCATCCGATTGAAAACAGACGCCCAAAGCACACGTGGAGCAGAGCAACGAGTTACGTGAACGCAATATTAGGATGTTAGTTGATTAAAGATCCATTATGGGAGATTCGATAACGCGATTGAAATTTCAGCCTAGCCTCGATCATCATTACTAAAGTCAGTACGATAAACAGCATAGTCTCGATTATCCATTTAATCGTGAAGGAAAGTTATGCAGTAAATCGGCTGATAATCCACTAAAAATCACAGGCTAGCGATGTCATCTAGACCTGCAATAGACAGATTTAGCTCTTGCATAATGTATGTTTAATGGTAACGAGTATTAGCATTTCGTTGGCTTGGTTCTTGAGTGGTCTAAAGTCTACATGTTAGATCAAACGGTCTATCGTTAAATGAGGTCACGTGGTACATGACAATAAATACCTATTATATTTTAGTCCCGAAATAACCCTGCTAATGTTATGTAGATAGCCGTTTTTACGAGATTACTAATTATAGCAATGGGAGGCTGACTGGGTTGGATCACATCCACCCTGTGCTACGAAATACACCATGGTGAACAAAGAATCTAAAGGAGTTCACAGCAAAGGCGAAGATCTTTGCATCAGGTTCATGGGTAAAATGTGTACTGGTGCTACTCCTTCTGGTTCAGCTACCTTAAAAGATCTGACAGACGATCATCAGAAAGTTCCAGATGTGCCTCATGTCAATGGTAAGCTATGTTTTGATTAGATAATTACCACCTCTCAATGTGTCTATATAAGAGCCCGCCCCTGGAATGTTATCTGCTCCATTGTCAACTAAATATCTAAGTTTAATACAAAACACCCCCCCCCCCCCCCCTGTGATGTCAAGTTCACACATGGATATTATTTACCCATAAATAAATGTGTGGATAATCAAAGCCCTTGAAACAGGGTATGATTGGCAGTCTTTATTCCAAGCAGATATTGAGAATAATACAAATAATAAATTTTTGTTTTGTATTTCATTCTGTCATGGTGTTATATTAAAGCACAGCCATTGTCTTTCTTTGTGTGAAGCACATCTGTGTACTACTAATAATAAAATGTGCAACGAGCTAGAAAAAAAGACACATCCGAAAAAGACAAGTAGCTTGGCATTAATGTAACTTATCTTTTGATTTTTATGGTTGCTGGCATTTTAATGTTGCTGTTTTTGTTTAGGCTGTATGTTGTGGCCTTTTGAATTATGGTGATTTTCGCATGTTGCTCGGATACTGGAATTCGTATTTCGGCTAGTAATACTAAGTATAAATTGTGAGCTCTTAAGATGTCGCATATCTAATAATAAGTGCAAGGGGATCTCGCCACGCACAACAGCAACTAACAAGATGAAGCGATTGAATCCAATGGTCTGGTCGTAAATAAATAGTCAGTGGTTAGTTATCATCATAATTTTCAGGTGCGCAATCGACTAAATACAACTATGGCGAAGTTTTAGAGAAATCTATACTATTTTATGAGGCACAAAGATCTGGTAAACTTCCTAAAAATAATAGAATACCATGGAGAGCTGATTCAGCTCTGAGTGATAAGGGAGATGCTGGAGAAGATTTGACTGGTGGTTGGTACGATGGTAAGTTTCTCAGATAGTATTTTCCCAGACGCATTAATATAAAGTGCCTTGGTTTGCATGTTAGATACCACGACATTATTAGTAACTGTAAAGAGTGGGCGTAAAACTGAAGATTTGCCACAAAGAAACAAGTTAACAAAACCCCCATTCCGGGCATATGTACAAAACTGGTGCTAATAAATTAAACTAATTCGGAGTTCTGTTATATTCTGTCTCGCTATACACCTTAAAAAGCAAAAATAAACTACGGTGCAAGCCGCAATTGTATTTCAATATAATTAACCATAAGAGAATCATTGTATGTTCAACGCCAAATATTTACATGACACGTAAAAAATGTTTCAAAACCAGCAAATGTTAGTATAATAATTTTTCACTGTTTATGCCTAGCGTGTACAGTTTCTATCTTTAGTGACCTTTAATTCATGTTTATCAAATGTAATCAAAGAGCAATAATTCTTACTATTACATTAACTCGACACTGTCAATTCGGTCTTTTGTTTCAGCTGGAGATAATGTAAAGTTTAATTTTCCTATGGCTTGGAGTACAACCGTTTTGACCTGGGGTTTGATCCAATGGAAAGATGCCTATCAGAAATCAGGACAATTGGACTACATGTATGATTCTATCAGATGGCCCATGGACTATCTTATGAAATGTCACAGCAAAACCAACGAACTATACGTTCAAGTAAGTAATTAATGTATCCTCGGGTTATATTTAAGGTCACACAAGTAGTTCCAAATATCTCAAACAAAAAGAATTCAGTTTTCATCTTAGGGTTTGGTATCTGATTCTTGTTTTGCTTTTGAATGCGATGATTATCCAAACCTAGTACTTATGAACACAGCCTCTCCTGTTTTATGTGTTAATCCTACCGACGGCCTGGGTCAATGTATATATGCCTGAAATAACCGTAAATTATCGAACCGGACGGGCGTCATAATAATATATTCCCTTGAGAATGAGGTCTATAATTGAGCTATCTGCGGATATTATCTGCAATATACTAATTTCATCCTTTTTGCTTAGCAATGGTTATAGTCCATTAAACCAATTTTATGCTACGTTTTGTTAAGTGGTGTTTCCAATTAGTCATCCTCATCTTTGTCAAGGTTTCTTGAACACGAATGGAGCGATCGCTAGGAGTAAGGTGCGTTTCCGTGGCTGTGTAAATGCGATATTATAGGATATTAAGCTCCGTTTTCAACACAATGGATCAAAATTGGAAATAATATTAGAAAGTAATGTTGTTTCGAAATTGATGATATTTTTGTATTTTATTTATAATCCCTTTTTACTACTTCATTGATTAGGTAGGTGACGGCGGTACTGATCACGGTTCATGGACTAGCCCTGAACGTATGACCGGAAACAGGCCAGCTTTCAAAATCACCACTTCTCAAGGAGGAGCTGACGTTGGGTTGGAAACTGCTGCTGCCTTGGCTGCAGGGTCAATAGCTTTCAAAACAAAAGGTGAGGACTGCTTGCAAATTTATTGTGTTTGTGTGGGTTGGTGGGAGGGGGGGGGGGGTAAATTGAAATCAGACAATGAACCATTTAACCATTTTTTCAGACGCTTTAACTCCTCTTTAACTTCTCATTAAGTGCGTTAATCAAATGAAAGCTTACAATATGAATAAACGCGTTATTGATCACCTAGACCCTAGGATATGTAGCTTCAATCGGTGTCTAAACAATTACTAATTAATCTTTATTTGTGTGTCGCATTAATCATAGATATTGGCAGATGATATGTATTTTTGTTACAGATGCAGCCTATTCCCATAAATTATTAGCTCAGGCCAAATCGATTTATAATTTTGCCAGAAAGACGAAAGATCGTTACAGTGACACTGTCAATGCAGCTGCTGCTTATTATAAGTAGGTTATCTTAATTGTTTATCAATCATTTCATTTTGATAGCTACGGTCATATTTTTTAATACTTTCAATCATATAAGTATTTACAATTCACATTCCATTTGGCTTTAACTACATACATGTGGCGTGCGTGTTAATCGAGTGGAGACTTTCTGTGGATCGTATTTCCCCAGATCGTAGAAGACTTCCCTGCTTAAAGGCTCAATACCACTCTTGTTGTAACTGAATAATATGTCCCAATCTTTATTCTGGTCAACAAATTGTACTATTTTAGAATATTTCAATTAATTGATGATACAAATTTCATCTTAACACACCTTATTTAAACATTTTGAAAAATTCAACATAATAGTTTGAAACGTCTAACGTAAACCTTTTCAAATGAAACTTCAATTTAAAAATATTTTCGAACCCTCTGGACAAGTAAAATAGGATGTAATGGATAATTTACACAACAGGTAGGACACTTAAACATCTAGTACTAAGATAGAGATATTATTTATTTTCTGGAGCTTTCAAGCCAGCAAGAGTGTTATGGTCCCTTTAAGACATTAGGGAATAAACATTGACCACGCCCGTCCAAAAGGATATTATCTTCTTTTTTCGACACGTAGGACCGCATTTGATATAACAAATAAATCGTTGACCATCTTGGTCGCCACAAATCAATTGTGTCCCGTCTCAATGACAAACATTTCTACAACTAAGTTCTATTTAACAGATCTAACAACATAACAGATGAACTAGGTTGGGGGGCTTTATGGATGTATAAAGCTACCGGGGATAAATCTTATATTGCTGAAGCTGAGAAACACCACGAACCTGGTGCAGCTTGGGGATTCTCCTGGGATGAGAAAACAGCAGGAGTCAATGTAAGTTAGCTCGTCTAGCTATTGATATACATTTGTCATGCTAGGTTCTCACTATTATGATTCGCGCTACGATTGAAATCATGGTTTTAATCGTGGCGTAATCGTGGTGATCCTATCAGGTCTTAACATATATTGAGGTCAGTCGTGACAATCGTGTTGATCGTATCGATACGTATCCGAACGTATCTTCAGGTACCAGATCGTGGACTCAATAGGGACAATCCTGTCGTAACGCATCGCCCGACAGTGGGAAACCTAGCATTAGTTAAGTTTGAACATGTAATTTATGAGTTTTGGATCTGGTGCACGGATTTAGGATGGCGCGTCCCACTATAGCTAATATGAGAAAACATTTTATAAGAAGTATTTTATAAGGAGGCTATCTGTAAATTATTGTTGTAATAAAAATTGTATGCAAGTCTTTACATACTTAAATCTTCTTTTACGAAAATGAAAACCCTCATACGTTCCTATATGTTTCTTTGTTGTATCGAAATAGCACGCATTTGATTTGTTTTATATTTAGATGTTATTATATGAAGTCACAAAGAAGGATATATATAAACAAGATATAATAGCTACTATGAAATCCTGGATGCCTGGTGGAGATCTGCCATATACACCCAAATGCTTGGCCTTTAGATTAGTTTGGGGAGCTTTAAGATATGCATGTAAGCCGTAATATTCTAATTAAAATATTGTTATGATAGTTTGTCATCGATAATTCTTGATCCGTGTTTCTGATAAAAAATGCATTATTTTTACCAAGGTTCAGAATTCCATGTCACTTGCTGGTGTTACGGTCAAGAACGTTTCGGCTAACGCCGTCTACTGAAACGGTGGCCGAAACGTCGTATTTTCACAAGAAATATCCCAAGTCATTTGTCCAAACTATTAACCTGTGAACAGCACAGAGTAAAAGGTCGTATCAGTTTACTTTAGAGTGACGGTGACAGAAATGAGCAGGTTATACATAAACTAATAACTTTTAGATTCACAATTTTATGTCTTCTGGTATTGTCAATAATTTTTACAACTTTACAGTGTATCTGTGATTCTCGATATGTAGTTACCAATTTACAAGTTAATCCCCTTTAATTGTAGCCAATACTGCTTTAATTGCTCTGATGGCTGCTGATCAAGGAATCAATCCAGAGCCGTACAGAAAATGGGCGATGAGTCAGATTAACTATGCCCTCGGTGATACCGGTAGAAGTTATGTTGTTGGTTTTGGTAAAAATTCACCACAACGACCACATCACAGAGCAAGGTACGTTGGTCAGAATTAGTTAACTATTGTCAGAATCAAACAGTGGCGATCTTTCTGGGGGTCAAAGAAGTGCATAAATGTGAAAGTCAAAATATTGAAATTTATTTCGAAGAGTCAGTTATTGTAATATTATGCTGTAGCGAATGCTCGCCCTGAAACCACTTTCACTATTATGGCACTGATTACGTTTGTTCCCACTCTAATATTTGGTTATCCTTTAAATATGATCTGCAATCACGTACAGTCGGTAGCACAGCTACGACGGGGCGAGGGGTAGTTAGCCCCGGGATTCTCCTTTAGGAACGGCACTTTTGGTTAAATCATTTTTGGGAGAGTAAGAGTAGAAGGATACAAGCTTTTGTATCGAGACTAGTGTTTAGGATATACTGAAACTAATCCACGCTGAACTGCCTATAGCAAACCGTTTATTCATTGTACATCTACATATAACAAGATGATTGCTTTGTTAACTTCAGCTCATGTCCCTTGTTACCAGCCCCTTGTGGTTGGGGAGCCCAACAGAATCCGGGACCAAATCCCCATACACTTTACGGTGCTTTAGTTGGAGGACCTGGTTCATCTGATAATTATGCTGATGATCGAAAAGATTATACCAAGAATGAAGTAGCTTGTGATTATAATGCTGGCTTCCAGAGTACTGTTGCAGGTAAACAATGATTATTTTCATTATTAAGCTCCTCTTTATAAAAACAGTAAATCGATTACACAAGATAGTATTTGATGTTTATATTAATGCTGATTTGCTCAGTAGGTTACATTTTTTATTAAGTGGTGGATCTAGGATCTATTTCAGTAAACTAGGTGCTGGACTCTATTTCATTCACAGTTAGTTACAACTTTTCGTTTTTATTTATCCCCTTTCCGTTTCAAATATATCTTTGGGAATGTGTATCAATAGTATTATTCATGTGAAGTAGTGTATTGTCTTCTTCCACTATCCGTCCGAGTCATATGATTTGACTAAGATGGAACTGTTTGGTAGTTAGTTATAAGGGGTGGTGAATTTGAAATGCAGGCCCATTTACTAATTGTTCGTAGAATTATCGCCCCTATTACCGAAATCTGGTAGGTTAATTGTCTCAAATACCATACTGTGGCATTCTTGATTGTTGTGTTGGCGGGTGTTTGTTCATTTATTGAAAACGGTGTGTCATATCATAATGTAAAACAATAGAACTATATAACTTCTTAAAATTATATATTAATATAGACATCCTTATTTTGTATATTACGTTTTAGGTCTACTTCACCTGTCTATAAAGCATCAACTACCATCAGAATACAAGAGCATTTGCAGTCATAGCGGTTAAACTCTGAAATAAAACGTCTAACAATTTCCTTGCCTTTGTTCGTACCTAATAGTAAAGGAATATCATGGCATCCCCTATTTACATTGTAAGACCCCCCCCCCCCCCCACCTAATCGGCTTGTTTTGGTCATATTATGTGCACTTATATTATGTAAGGTGTGACCGTTAAATGTTCTACGATGTTCGAAGCGAGAGAGATATGGAGAAATTGGGTTTAAAGTTTACTTGACACAAACTAAGATATGGTTCAATTTTTTTTTAATAATTCGCTTTAGCGAAGGAGTCTTTTAGCTGTAGGAGGAAACCGGAGGAAACTCAGGGGCTGGACAGGCGACCCTACTCCTTGTTCTGTACATGCGGGGACTCGAAACCATGCCACTTGTTAAACAATTCGGCCACTCAAACTCCCGACAACCGAAGCACTAGACATAATGTTTTGTTAGCCTCACAAACGCTCACATGGCTTTTTTGCTCGCTGACTGGGGTTAAGGCATGATCGCATAACAAGCGACTCGTGACATGTGGTTAGGACTTACATGACCCTGTAGGTTTCAAACTAAAAACATTTGAGCCGTGAATTTCTATTAAATTCATAATCCCAAATCAAATAATCTGTGGTTACAGATCGTGCGGCTGTAATTTGAAATTGATCATCCGTTTAGATTGACGGTTCTAGTTTCTATTGCATTACTTAATTGCTTTATGAACTGACAATATTACAATATTTATGTTTATTGTTACGGTATTTATATGTTTAAAGTCTTTTTTTTACAAAATGATAGATCAGTGTAGTAATAGTATGTAGAGGTTAGCGTGGCTATGTCCCGGTCGGAGCTAACAATCGCATTCTAAAAGCCATTTCATTACATGTAGTTATATTGTCATTAAAACAACACCGGGCTATTTCAACATGACGCAGTGTAAAGGGAAAATTTGCCAAGAACCTACAAACTAGAGGATATATCCATTCAATTAATAATCCCCACTGTTCAGGAAGAACGAAGGTCGGGATAATAGTTGACACGCAAGAAGCAAATTGATAAGATGAGTAAAATGATATGCGGAACAAGCGCCACTAATGCAGAATAATTCCATTACACACTTATAGACAAACAAAACAACCGACAGATCTATGATATGTCATATATAGGGTGGATAGTTACATGTTTACTAATATGCTTCCAGACTGTGGTGATTCCATTGTGAACATCATGTTTTATAAAGAAGACGTTGCCACATGTTATTCCATCTGTGGTAGAAAGCGTCCAGCCCAACAAAACTAGAGTCGGTATAAATCAAAATTGCACTGTTGTCATATTACACAAAGAAAGTCTGTATCACTATCACTTGTTTTGTTGCGAATCAACTAAAAACGAAGCTATGGCTATTAATAATTTCTGCTGTATTACATGTTTGTTGCGGTCAGATAATTCGAACGATGCAATAGATTGGGCGATTTTAACATCCGCGATTTAACTGTATATTCAAACAACGCCAAATCGATTCTTCTCCGTAGCTTCACAGACCTCTATTGTCTTGGCCATCTATTCTCCCCATTTTAATACCACAAAGAAAAATAACAAACGAACAAGGTTGGTAAAAAGCATGAAAATTTATTAGAAAGAAAATGGATAAATATTTAATGAAATATAGTCAAAGCAGTATCCTTGGTAGCGACAATAGTCTTCGAACGTAACGGCAAAACATTGGCAAGATTTGTTCTTCTGTCTTTGTCCATATATTAGGTTCTTTATTCGTTTAATCCTTTCCTTTACTGATTTGAATACCATATACCAGTATGATACCATCTTGGATCTTATGTACATTGACCTAAAATAAAAAAAAGCTTTATCCACTGTATTGCTTTCTAGCAGATAAAATAGGCCCACGAACTGGTGGGTTTTGTTAGATAACAGATAATAAAGGCCCTATTGTTTTCATCTTTTTATCGAACCTTCAACGATTCCAAGCCTGCACACTTTATATTATACATTTTTGAAAGCTGAATCATTTGCTTTCCAAAGATAAATTTCATATCTTTCTGAATCTTATCTGCCTAAAGATGTGTACAAAACAATAGACGTATCATGCATGGACGTTTTTAAATTGTTCTCCAACATCGGATATCGATAAGCGGTATTGTTTTGTACACAACTTCTAAGATGCAAAGCAAATAAAGTTATGCAATAAATATTGGTAGAGGCACTTAAGTTAGTTTTTGATCAATAATTTGTATTGTGTTTTAAGTAAGGAATTAGTGAAAAAATCCTCAAAAACTCCCAACCTTCAAAAATTACAAAAACTTTGACTCCCCAGTGAACTTTAGTTGCAGATGATCTTAGACTTACTGTTCTGAATGTCCGCCATGTTGAAACATATTTTGCGATGCGATTGTAACCCGTTTTACTTTCACGCACACAGAGACTCAAAAACATAATATTCTAATTTCATTAAATATGAAATAAGAAGCGGAATAATTACTTCTCGAGATTCTCGGTGTATAGGAATTAAAATGTCGACCGACTAGCTTCGTGTCTGTTCTAAAGTAGACATCGTAGGTTTCGTATGCAGTGGACCGAAACCGTCGAGCCGAGAGAAATCCCACAATGTTTGTGAGGTATAAGCTTGGGGTCGAAACCACAGATGACAATAACGCATGCATGAATGATCAATTGATTTAATTCAGATGAGTGTGGTTATTGATTGAATTTAATATACGATAAACAAATCGGTGTGGTGTTTGTTTTCATATCAGTTTAACTTTCTTGTTTAAACAAAGACTCATACAGACGATAAAATTGCTTTTAAACATGGTTTGTCAACAAATAATTAAATTTAGGTATGGAAATACTGGGTAAACAAACGATACATTACCTTTACAGGGTAGGTCACGCGATCTAGCGCATATCTGAACACTGCAATTAATATGATGTTCAGTGGTCTGTAGAACTTGTTGTATATGTAATGTGCAATTAACTTTATTGTTATTAATGTACATAACAACTCTATCACTCACCGGGGTTAGTGCTAAATGATAAGGCCAGCACAATTTTTCGTCATAGGTCACGAGCTGTAAACAGGGCTAGCGCTTATCACAACCCTGACTCTAGATCTTACCCCAATGCTTACCCTAACCCTAACCTACAATCTCGCCAACAATCACGTACCCTATCCTTGTTTACATCTCAGCGACCGTGACAAAAAATTAAGCTGGCCTTAACAAATAGATTTAGCCCACTAACGGGGGGGGGGGGGGGGTCCGCGCTCGATGGCTGTGTTGGCCGATACGTTCTCGGGATTTTTCAGGCTTGTTTACTCTCGTCAGTAGTGCAGGAGAACGGAGGTCCGTGAAGTCTAATTCAGCCAATCGCTAGTTTTGTAGGGAAAAACTTGAATATTCATGTCACTACCTATATAGCTTACTGGTCTCTCCGAAGGTTTAAAATTGTTTTATTAGTATCAAATTCCAAAGGCAATGGCAATAGACATAATAATCGCGATGATCATTTACCACTGTAAATTTGGCAAGTATATAGACATTATATAGTCCTTCATCATATAATGGGGAATTCAAAATGAAATGAAATGGGGTTTAACGTCCTACTGTTCTGCTCCTAACCTGGGCTAATGAAGACGGGCATACGCCATACAATGTGCTATGAGGGAAATTTTGCCCGGGCAGCGGCGCTATGGCCTACTCTTATATCGAATTCCAACTGCCAAGGGATCTTTTACGTGCAACCAATGTGTACACGGGGCCTCGGTTTTTCGTCCCATCCGAACGACTAGACAGCTGTCCTTGTCAGACCCTCCATACTGCATCACTGACAAGGGGAAACGACGCCGGAAGGGGAATTCAAGGGCATTTGGCCAGACCAAGATGGAATCTAGGATCAAGACTCTTTTTACACAGGATTAAATTTATGTATCTGGGACTGCTCCTGTAATAATAAAAGTCTTACCGTTTGAAATACAGCAAAATTCAAACAATTTGTTCCGGCTAGTTCGGAATAGTCAAGAAACACCCGATAATTTGACTCATATCCATTAAACCATAATCCAAAAACTTAAAGCACACAAATCATTTCCATTTAGCATCAATATACTGTCAACGAGAATCTGATTCTAATACATTGACATACTTTGTTTTATCTTTATATACTAACGGTATAGCTCTTGTCAGTATATCCCCTGAAACACCATAATTATCATATAAATGATTAAAGTCGGTTACTGCCCTAATTTACATACTTACATGTATCTACAGTGTAGACCGGGCGTTATGCAACACCAAACTAGTGGACCAGGTCAAGTATTAATAGGCTAACTGTAAGTCCTGTTTCTGTGGACCCCTCTCTCTCTATCTCTCTCTCTCGCTCCCTCTCTCTCTCTCCAGAAAGATTTAACAATGGTTTACGAAATAATGGGTTTTCAGGTTGGATTAATCCAATTAGCAAATGTCATCATATCGAAACAAAAGTAGAATAAAGTTGTTAGCAGTGTACACCCCATTTAATAGAGAGGATCTAAATGTTCTTGTAAAATAAAGTTTCCGGTCGTAATAGATTTTAATTGTGCGCCTGTTTCCAACACAAAAACCTAGACATTGCGGTCACAATTGGGAAATTAAGAAGATTATGGAAAAAGAACGAAGACTTCCGACAGGAATGTGGATTTATGCCTGGATGAACATGTGATGTTGCTTTTTTGTATGTAAAAGCTTTTTAATGGCATTATCACGGAAAGCGCCATTTCAAGGTACTCAAATTCTAACTTCTATGAGGCTTTTACGTGCTCTTTTCTATGTGTCAATAGGACAAGTTTCAATATCGCTAAATCGGTTAATTAAGATAGTATACCTCCCATTAATGAAAAGCATTTATCTGACATCCTAGTCATATTAGTTCAAAACTAATCTATCGATTATCCAAGACGTGAATTATGCTATCTTGAAGATTATTATATTTTCGTTTAAGAAATACTAAAACCAGCCGAAGCAAAACTTGGCTAAACTGTTTG